TTTCTCAAAATAGATGCCCCCTAAAGTGGTTGGTGTCCTTTCGGTTGTCCTGAAACCAAGAATCCACTCAAATCAACCAACTCATCGCAAAGAAACTGGATTCTCTACCAGCTGAAACCGGATCAAACCTCTCTTCCGCGCAGCAAAAAGCCCTGACCGCCCTCTCCGTCTGGTACATCTGGAGGGAGATCCATCCCAGCCAGGCCAGCAGAGTCACCATGTAGGTGCAGCAAAGCGCCTAGGAAGCAGAAGCGGACCCTCTGGCGAGTCCGGGTGTTGGGTTTGAACCGGAAGGAGATCCCCTTAAAGGAAACCATAGGGTGTTTCTCGGGGTCATTCCAACTCATTCCCTGCTGAGAACCAGCAAGTGATGTTCCGACCTTGAACCGTTCGCTTTGCCCCCCCCCCCCCATTTGCATTTTGCTTCATGTCAGCTTCCCTCCAATTGGTGGCTGGCGGTTCAGGAGGCAACTCTTCAACCTTCGCACTGGTCTCAGGCCAAAATGAGCCAGACCAATGGAATTTCTGCAACAAAAACAAACAGCCGGGAAAAATAAGGAAACCCAAAGGCATCAAAAAGAATGATCAAGCCTGGCAATGGCTATTTCCATGAACCCGCTACAAATGCCAGGGGTTCAAAAGATCCCAACCACCAATCCAATGCCCAAATGACAAACTCAAAATTCGCGTGACAACATTCCACAGAAATACGAGAATTCCTAACTGGAATTAGCGGCTGCTCCGGCTAAAGGACCTGCATGAGTGAGCTCGTGAGAAACTAAGTGAGCTAAACCCACAACTTGAGCAATGCCATGGGGTCCCCAAAACAAAAAGGATGCAGACCTCGTTTCGGAAACAGGGAAACAGTGAAGAAGCCAGCTTCTCACACAAAAAACAAAACGTACCAACATGATAGACTTGAGTATTAATGAAAGAACAAAACACCTCAAAACGACCACTAGCCCTGAAGTTTGAAGACAACTCACTGGGGTGGGGGGAATGAACCTGCATGCCGGTACATCGCTTCCAGTTGGAGGATTGCTAGCCTGAAAATGTTCAAAAGGACCCCCCCCCCCAATATTTTAGGGAAACAGCAAGATGCCTCTGTTGACCCAGCCAGAGGCACCAAACCAAGCCACCAGATGACCACTGAACAACCAATCCACCCTTGGTCTCGGTTGCTCTTCCGCCCCCTGAGCACAAAACTCGATCACCTCTTGTAGGTTTATGGGTCGAAAGGTCTCTCTGCGATGTCAAGCACAAGACCGAATCGCCACAAGTGCAGCTTCCCGGCTTATCCAAACATGAGACCCCTGCCACTCCCAGCGAACAAACCTGGGAACCTGTCTTTTTGTCGGGGCCCCCAAAACGGGGTTGGTGTAAAGAGAAAAATCCACAAGGAAACCCGAAGCCATTGGGATTGGGTCTTATTAAAAAGCACCTTTTCTAAAAGAAGTAGGCCCACGTGGCCATGGGTCAAAAGCCCGTACTCCCCATCCCCACTAAAATAGGTTCTAAAATGGGTGGTGAAGTCACCTACCCCAAAGATGGGGGCCCGCCCACCATTGACCCCGCCTGCTTCTGGGCCACCACCTTGAGCACTGACAGGCACGACCGCTCGCCCTCACGGAGAAATCGATAAAAGGCGGGACGGTGGGTTTTTCGCGGGCGAATTTGCAGCAAAAGCCTGGAATGCGTTGATGTTTTTCTGTCGAAAACAAAACAAAGACCACCTGCCAAACCCTGGAATGACGTTTCTTTTCTTCTTTCTTTTGTCGGAAAACACCAACCAACAATGATGTCCCGCTCGCCTTTCGCTTTTTGGGCAGCCTTGAGGGAACCCAGTCTGCCTCTGTTTCTGCGATGCTGCAGAGAGGCAGGGGGAAATGATGCTTTTGGGGGTATGTGAATTTGGGTGGCTCGAGTCCAAAGTGCCAAATTTCCAGATGTAGTCACGAGACCAGGTGCTAGGTCAATCCGCGAATCCTTGCACGAGGCGACGAGGTGAGAAAAGGAGCGGATGGTTTCAGCGAGTCACTCCAAGAGGGGCGCCGGGGATCCAAACCCAACCATAAAAAGGGCCCCCTCAGAAAACCACACACGTTCGCGTCCTGCAGATTCACATGGAACCAGAGAAACCGTTTCCAGAGGAAGCAATTCGGTAAAAGCTGCAGGAAAGTATATTGTGCTTTACAAACTGTGTCCAACACAGCTCCCACAAGTTGGGTGGCTCCTTTGACCCCCGAAAGAAGCCTAGGGCTTCGAACCAAATTACAATTCAAAAGCCATGCTGTGGACGAGATCCATTTCGCACCATGAAATGAAACCAAAGGTTCAAACCATAACGTTGGTTGGTGTTTACAGGGAAATCGAATCATTCCCTTGAGTTTCTGAACGGTAAAGGACCCGACCTACTCTTTCGGGGTCCTTTCCGCGAAAACCCATAGGCAGTGGGGTGTCCATGACTTTGTTCCTCCTGGTGGCGGGTCTCCGGAAAGCTACCTGGTGGTTCTCGGCCCGCGAGGCGCGAGCCCCCCGCCTCAATCAGGGGCGTGTGGACGTCTCCGGGACCTGAAACCACATCTTACACATCCCCCCGCTCTAGGAAGCGCATGGAACCATGCCTGGTGGTTTAATTTTGACCCATACTCAAATGGTCCAACTCCAGCAAAAAGGGATGGGAAATAAAGGGGAGCCATGTAGGCGTTCCAACTTATCCCGAAAACCCATGAACTCAAAGCATCAGTGGTTTCCCTTGTGGTAGAAGCAACCCCTTGTTTCGGTACTGAGCCTCAAGGCAAACAAAAATCACCTGGAGCACGAAACCCACGATCTTTGGCTTCAAGATTTGAAAGCGGTTCGAATTCTTGCGGATGCCGAAAACGGCATGAGCACCGAAAAAATCAGATGGCGGTGGGTCAAAAATAGGTACCCAAAATGACACCCTGGCAAATGGAACGACTAAAACCAGCCGTCCCCTCCTAGTGGCTAAATGGTGGCTCATATTCGTATGGAAACCCGGTGAATCAAAGGCCTTGACTTCTCCTTGTCGGTCTGTACTGGACAATCAGGTGGACGAAATCCATTTCTCACCACCGTTCAGAAACCCAAGCGAATGGTTGGATTCCCCCGAAATAACAAGAAACGTTCTGGCTTCATTCCCATGGTGACTAATTTCGTGGTGCGAGACTCGCGGATGACTCGCAACCACAGTATGTCATAGGTGAACTCTTGGCAACATGGGCCCGTCTGAACCTGGGGAGCCCTATGTCTCCAACGAAGCGATCAAAAGGACACCTATGCTTGTAGGCTTCTGGGGAGATTAAAAGTTAAGTGGGTGTCCAGACTTTTTCCCAAAATGGTCCCAACTCTTGATCAAGTTGTTGAAGGGAGCGAGCTGGACCCATCCAACATCTCCTCTCGGGCCTTTCTGGGTGCGCCCCCCCTTTTGTTTTGGGGGGGGGGGTGCGTTAAAGGGAAAATAAAGGGAAGCAACAACTTCTTCTTCTTCTTCTTCTTCTTCTTCTTCTTCTTCTTCTTCTTCTTCTTCTTCTTCTTCTTCTTCTTTGTCTTCTTGTTTTTGCTGGGGCGGTCCCTCAAAAAGACAAGCCCACGTTGCCGTGTATGAGGGGTCTACACGCAAACCAAAAGTCTTTTTGGGGGGGTCTCTGCATTTTGAGACACTCATGTACAGCAATGTCCTTTGACGTACATTCTCAATCTGGCCAAATTGCTAGAGTTCCTTAACTGGAAATGAGGGACCCCCATCGAAGGACCTGACGGGTGGAAAAGAATGGTCGAACACCCAGCATAAATGACCATCCCTATCAACACCAAAAACATGTTGTGACCATGGCACACATGTGGGTACCAGTTCTTAGGGTGGGTTTCAAGGGAAAACAAGAGGCCGTGCCCAGGGGGGGTTCCCCACTTGCCATGGAGCTCGGGTCCCACATCCAGGGCATTTACCAACACCAGAGCGGACAAAAACGACTTTTCCAGGCCTCCCCCCCGTTCCCTGAAACTCCTTCCCCTCTCCTCCCATCCCCCCTTGCGTGAGTTGCAAAATTGCTTTAACCCCCCTCCCCCCCGGCGTGACAGACCTCCGCGATATGTGCACCCACCCACCCACCCACCCACCCACCCACCCACCCACCCACCCACCCACCCGCCCCACTTCACAACTTATCCCTCTCCTCCACCCCCAGCCTCCTGAACCGTTTTCGCAAGCCTCCTGAATCGTCTCCTTTGCCACCACCAGAGTGCACAAGTTGGCCAACACCTCAACTCAAAACTCGAACAAAAAGTCCGTTTTTTGTCCATGCCTTGCTCGGGAAATGCCCTGTTTCTGGACAAAAAGAAAGAAGACCAGTTGAGGTGGTACGCAACTTCAAGATACACTTGGCACCTCACGGTTCCTGGAATCCCTGCTTTCCTTAAAAGGGGCCATGTCGCCGGGTTCCATGGCAGCCTAGACCCAAGGCGAATCAAAAACAGTCAGAAGAAGCCGCCCGCCTCCCGGCCGCAACGAAAACCCACCGAAGAACGTCATGGGTCTTCATCCAAGTGAGGAAGGGACTTGGGTGCCGCGTCCAAACTTTTCAGGTTTTGGACCCCGAGATGGTGTTCGTTTTGGCTTCCCGTGAAAGAACAGGCAGAGTTCTCGAACCAATCGCCAATCCAAATGTCCCAGTGACTTGGGACAAAGGACCACATCAATGCCCGGGCATCTGGGTGCGCCAAGCGTTTTCTTGGAGGTACCCGAAATGATTTTGTTGTTTCACAGAACAGGAAACATCATCTTGAGAACCTGTAGCAATCTGTCCGGCCTTTCAAGCAAACCAACCACAAAACAAGGGAATTTACAGGGTGTCCTTGGCCTCGCAACATTTTTCGGCATCCACCGTAAGGGGGGGATTGCAAGAAAAGCGGCAGAGAAACATAATTGTGGATGGACTGACCACCTACCCAACTGGTGCCTAGCGTGGATTTGCCCATCAGTATGAGTCCCCCCGGAATGACCCTCAAAACTTAAGTTGTTGTTGCTTGGCTTGACCCCGTCAATAATTTTGCGGGCGGAAATCTAAACATCTAGACAGTTCCCACACCTCGAGATGCCGTGGTTTGGTTGCCTCTAAAGCCAAGCGAGGAAGAGCTTATACTTATACAAATGTGCACGTGTAAGGTGTATATGTATATGTATATATATATATATACACATAAAATAATAACAATAATAGCAACAATAATAATAATCAGAAGAAATATATGTATATATATATGTGTGTATTCACTGTATATAGTCTTGTCTCCATGCCTGAGGCCAACCGGCTAGGGGGCCATTTTCTCCCCTCCGCGTTGGCCCAAGCAGCGCAGGCGCAGCAGGCCAAGAGGAAGGCGAAGCGGAGGTCCGCGCAGCCTCCCGAAAGCCCGCGGGGCGCCATAGATGGCTGGTAGATGATGAAACCGCCGGGGCCGATCTTACCCCAAAGAGCCGAAAAAAGAATTGGACGCCTCTGCTCCATGTGCCTTTTTTCGCATCCTGGGAAACATGAGAATGTGCCCGATCATGAAAAAGATTCGCTTTGAGACCAGGAGGAAAAAGACAAACATGTTCATGTCAGCAAATGGAAGGTCGAGTTGGCGGCCAGCCAAGGCGGTGTCAACCCAAACCCCAACCCCACTTTCTTGGAGGCTTGATACACTTGTTGGTTGGCTTTGAAGCAAAAACCAAAAGGAAACCGACGCCATTTTGGGGGTGTCGTGGAGGATGTCCCTTTCACTCCTCTCTGCTTGGAGTGAAGAAAATCACCTTCTTGCGGAACGCTCCCGAGTGCCAACGACATGTAGCTAACCGCGGCTTCCAGGACGGGTTTGGACGAGAGTCCCCCAAGTGCGCTCAGTGTTCTTCTTTTTTCTGGCGAGGGGAGGGGCGATTGAACTGTGGATCCACAAAATTCTGACCATATACATGTTTTAAGGCGGCGGGGTGGGTTCAGTGTGAAAGTACATGGCACAATTCCTTGCTGTCGGTAAGGGGGATGATGAGAACCATGGGACCCCAAGTGGTCACGGGTTCATTTTAAATGGAAACCTCTCATGTGTTTCGCAAAAATAAAGGGGTACTACTGAGCGTCTGAGTTCCAAGGTTACACCATGAAATCGTAACCACTTAGGCAACAGGGCTCCCTATACTAGCCCCTTCAACATCACCCCACCAAAGGGAAAATCACGCTGAATTGGGCCAAAAGGTGATCATTGACAAATACCAGATGGGGAAATGTAGGGAACCCTGAACAACCTCACTTGGATCTCCTCAAGGAGCCGAATCGGGGCCTTGCTTCGTTGCCGCAAAAGGGATTTGAGAGGTGTGCCTCTCCCCCAAGGCGCCCCGGAAAGCGGGTCGAACAGCTGTGACATGGACCGCAACGAAGCTGTCAGGAGATCGGCCGCCTGGAAGCCACATGGCAGTTCTAGGGATGACATGGCGATGGGTCAAAATGAGACCAGGAATTGGACAGATCTTCGTCCTTGGTTCTCCAGGGCAAGCCATTTTGGGCCTTTTGGGTTACAAGGGCACTGGGGGACCTAGCGGATCTCTCGGGGGTCCAAAACCCCCAAAACGGCCCCGGTGCCGGCGCTTCGCCTCCGGCATCGTTGCAGGCGGTGGTTTTCAGCCCCGGCATCCTCTGAGGGGATCGATTTTTTTTTTTTTTTAAGGCTTCCCGAAAAGAAAAAGAAAAGCCCATGGCGCGCGGGGGGAAAGGGGCGGGAACGGAAAACCGGGCCGAAGGGCCAATGGAAAAGCCAAGATTCGTGCATGTTGGAAGTCATATGCGAAGCCTGCTGAACCTCTTGCAAGTTGGTTACCAACCAACATCCGCGCATCAGCGAGTACCGGATGCCAATCAACATATTCACTTAGGGATGTTTATTCTCACCGACCTGCAGGGCACTTGGGTTCGTTACCTTATGTTAAGGTTGCCGAAGAAAGGGAAACTTCGATTAAACCCAAAGCGCAACGCAACCCTTCGTGGCAGTTGCCTTTGGCCGGAGAAGTCATGCTTTAACGGGCCAAATTGGCTGGTTGAAAGAGCGTAGAAGCAGGTCCCAGTTGGATCTTGCCCCAAACACTGACAGTCACCTTTCGCACTTTGGCGCTTATGCTGTCGGATGGCGGAGCCCAGCTAATGCGCGACACTGGCATAAACGATTGATGCGAAATACGGAGATGATTAACATACGTCCAAAACTCTGTGCTAACTCGGCCTGTGCAGAATGGATTCTGAATGGCACGCAAAGCATCCGTGAATGTCACCACAAAATCGGAAAACCATTTGGCATCATTTGGCTGTGGCTCCAAAGCATGTACTAAAATGGCACCTTGGTGCATGGAACCAAAGACTAAAACCTGCGTAACCCTGGCTCTTAAATTTTGAGCCACCCCCGGCGGTGCATCCAAACTTGCCTCCGGTTCTGCTTTCCAGGTACCTTCGTGCCGCATTTGAAACTGGCCCAATTCTGAAGTCACCCCGGAAGAGCTGAAAGTGAAACCACCCAAAAGCTTCGAGGACTTGGATCCGACGAACCAAAACATGGGCTTGGTTGCTTTAAACGCACACACACACACACACACACACACACACACACACACACACACACACACACACACACACACACACACGCGCGCGCCGGCGGTAGCTCGCAAACCGGGGGAACATCTCAAACCCACTTCCCGCCGCGAAAAAAAAGGCCGATCCAGGTTTTTTTGGTTTTTTTGTTTTCCGGGTTCGGGGGGTCGGTCCGCGCGGTCCGCGGTCCTGGCAGCCCAGTGCACGCCCCCCAGCAGGTAGCCCAAAGCCAGGCCCAGCCCCGTGGCCGCCGTGCTCACGCTGAAAGCCTCCGGCCACTGCGCCTGAGGCTGTGAAGACGGCCGTTGGAGGGGGGTTGGAGGGGGAAACACGGCTTTTTGAGTGTAGCCTCGTTTCGGCTTAGGAAAACCCACGAAGTTGGTCCTCCGCCGTTTTGGGTGTCCATTTCCTCATGTTTGTGGCTTGCACGTGTGTGTTTCGGAGTTGGTACACTCTTGGGGGTTGGCATGAAGAGAAGCCAAATCGAAACCGTTGCCATTTTTAGGGTCCTAGATGGGTGTATCTTTCTTAGGGGTACCCCCCTTTTGCTTGGTCTTCAAGGGACAACCAAAACAAAAACCACTATTTTGGGCCCCAGACAACAAAAAAAGAAGCAACAAAAAAAGACCCACCCATAGTTTCAACACGTAAACACACGTCTCTTTCCACTCATCCGCCTCTCTCATCCCCTGCCAAGAAAACGGGCCTCGGGCACCACATCCGCGGTGAGGGACTTGGACACCACCCAAATCGCATTGTTCGAGGCCTCAGCGCAGCCAAATTTTGCCCGCGGCGGACTTTGTTTCGTTGCCGCGGCTTGGTCGCGCGCTTGGGGCTCGGGGTGTGCGCAGTCGGGGAAAAAATGCCCGTGGCGTGCATGTGAGTGTGTGTGTGTGTGTGTGCTTTTGTTGCCCCTCGCAAACAAGAAGAGGGAAGCTGAGAACAAAATCCCCGCATCTCGCGCCAGTTGGGACGGGTGTTTCATCCATCCCAAATGGTGGTTTCCTTTTGAAAAAACAAAACGGGCTGGGATACTTCAACAAACTTTGCCCCATGCCAGCAGCCCCAAAAAGAAAGGAACAATTGAGTTCTTATTTTTTCTCAGGGTGACTCCGAAGACATCGAAAGGCTTGAAATTTGGCTGGCAATAGAAAACAAGCGGCCCAATCATCTTCACAAGGCTCGGAGCAAACCTTTGTCGTTGAAGACCCGAGTCTTTCTCAAGCCCTTGAGCACTATTGAACAATCAGTCCCTGCCGCGGCCCAGTGGAAGGATGTTTAGCGCCTGAAACAAGTTCTAGGCCCGGTATGAAGCAAACAGTACAAATGGCCGCTTCCCTCCAGTGACATATGGTGTCTCCAAACAAGCAGGACCCTCGACAGCGTGGTTCCATCTTGGCCTTGTTGAAAGACTGGTTGGCCCAGAAGGCGTCTTAAAGCAACTGCTTCCTAGTCCTTTTCCACGGAAATTATGTGGAACTCGGTTTGGCCCCTTGCCACACGTTTGCAAGCAAAACAGTACTGCGGGTGGGCGAAATCCAATTCGCACCACTTGGGACAGATGAAACCCTATACATCATTACTGGTTGATAAACACTCAACTGGCGCGCTTTCTGGATTTTTTAACCATCATAAACCATGGTGCGGTTTATGGATTTTGTATCCATCCACAGCACTCGGCTTGGCCGATTCCTACACCTCAACACCTCAAAAGACGGCGTGAAACGCAGAGGGTTTCTTCGGAGACTGCCGCAAGCCTCTCGGCAAGGCGGCAGTTTCAGCTAGGGATCCATGGGCAGGCTGCCACTGTTTAGCAAAATTCCCCCCTATGAGAGGACAATTATTGAATGTCCACGTATGAACCATAATAAACAGATGAACCGATGTGAACCATAAGGCCGAATGTATGCATTCATTACCGGACAATCTCCTGGCCAAGGGCCCCAAAGGATTCACGACTTCATAGCTTTGAGACACCCCCACCATTTGAGCACGTCCCGCAAGTCGGAAAAACTACGACTCGTCCCCCTGGTGTGTGCTTGAAATGTTGTGGCTCCGTCAATGTCTCGAACCTCAAATTGACAAGAGACGAACAGGACATGCCAACCACGAACCTCATGTGTCTTTTTTGAGACCATTTTTGGACACCCTCATACGCGTTTCCGTAATTCTGTGCTTTCTCAAGGCTCTGGTTTCACATGAAACAGGTTTCTAATTCTGGAGCAAAGGACAGTGACAAATCATTTTGGGGCTCGTGACTGATCAATCAACCCATCCCAAATCATACATCCCAAGATCGTGCCTTTCAACTGAAAAGCCTCGACCTTCCACATGGCCCAAAAGTCTCTGGGCACGATCCTTCGCGGACAAGCGGGGGCAAAAACAAACGGAAAGCCCTCCTCCCCGGAGCGGCGAGCTCGTAAAGGAACTTGCCACCAAGCACCACCCAGCACACTTTTCCAAACCCTTGGGCCAGCTCCTTTCAAAAGGATTCCTTCGGTATCACAGGCCCTGAGGACCATTGCCATTGCCCCGAAAACGAATTCTTCGAGAACCCCGGGAAAAAGTCGGGGGGGGGGCACTGTGCACGAAGAGCGCGGTTTCCTCGAGTCTCACACCGTGCGGAAAGCCTGGAAGGATGATTCCCCTACAAACAATGATTTCAACCATATGGTTTCAAAGCGATGCAAGAGCTCGCCCATCCACAAACTCACCTTTAGGGCCCCTTTCCCACGCGTGGAGTTCGCATTTCGCTGCTTAGCCGGAGGTGCATCCAACATCCAAAAGCCCAAGGTGAAGATGAGCACGGCCCGTATGCGCAGGTCATCGTGCAGGCCGTCCCCCAGCAAATGCCCCAGGTCCGCGCTGTTTCCTTTCAAGGCTTGGCTCCAAGGGTCAAACGCGCGAAAGCGGCCCAAACCCCAAAAAGGGGCGGTTCCTGCTGATGTTCTAATAAAGACCCTCAAACAGGCCAAACCAAGAGGTCACATCTTCAAGGCAAGAGCTCCTCAAAGGATCCATCTCAAATTTGTGTGGGGCCTCCCCACTGCAGCAAAAATGCGCTTCTCCCTAAAACCCTAAAACTCCACTGAGGCTACGGTAAAACCCATCAGTCAGGAGATTGGGGCCAGGGATTGATTCATGTCACCGAGCCTTGGGCCCGAAAGGATTGAGCCGTGCCCAAAAACATCACCAAAATGAAACGCGCAAAGATAGGAAAGGCGAATAGGAAAGGCCTTTCCCGAAAGGCAAAAGTCCACCAGGAAGAAAAATACGCTTGCCTAGTGGCTTGAAGGTTCGCATTGGGGGGCCTTTGTGGTTTGCCTTTGGTCTTTGTTTCAACCTCAAGAGGAGGGGGGACTCCAAACCCCAGAAGCTCTGCATCCGACTTCCGAGTTCCGCGGGCCTTTTTGCCAGGACGAATTTTCGGGGGACCCAGATTTCAGGGGCAGCCAACAGGAAACCAGCGATTTTCGGTGTCATGTGGCAAAGCCCATGTCTATAGGATATGGAACACCTCAAACTTGACTTCCATTTAGTCTTGCTGCCCCAAATGTTTGGTACTCAGAGGACTCCCTCAGCTAGATTCTTGTCTCGCACTTCCTCAGGGGCTTTGAGTCGTTTTCGCCCTGAAGCAGCCCAAAAGCTACTGCAAAAACAAGTCGCGCGTCTCGAGCGATCAACCTTAAACCCTCCCAACAGCATCTGGGTATCAGCCCTCCACCAAGCCTAAATGAAGCGCAAACAAACCCAAGACCCACCCTCACTTTGTAAGACCTCAGCAATCCCAACACTCACCCGAAACCAGCCTCGAGCAACTCTGAACTGACAAAGCAAAGCCAATAGGCAGACCTAGTCCGAGCGAGGCCAGTGATGCTGGGGATGCGGCCGGTTAATACGCAGCCCTGACACCAAGTAACTGGGGATGCTGGGGATGCGGCCACACAGCCAACCAACCAACCGGCCAACCAACCAACCGGCCAACCGGCCAACGAACCAACCAACCAACCAACCAACCAACCAGCCAGCCAGCCAACCAACCAACCAACCAACCAGTCCCCTGGCCGGGGCCCAGCGCCGCGAGGGCATCAAATTTCGCCATTCCCCTTGACCCCGGCCTACCATCAGCTGCGCCAGCAGCAGCGCCACCCCGGCGAGCGCCAGGAAAGGCCGGCGCCGCCCGAAGCGCCGACAGAAGAAGAAGCCGCCCGAAGCGCCACGGCCGTCGGACAATCGCCCAATGAGGGGCTGGACGATCATGCCTGGAGAACCGTGTGGGTGGCTCGTCTTTTCTTTGAGCTTATTCTTTCGGCAATATGAGCTGTTTGAGTGGTTCCCCTATTTTGAGACAAACCTGCATCAGCTTTGGGTCCATAGTGAGACATTCTCAGATTTACCTTCTAGAGGGTGGTGTGAATAGGAGGCCGAGGTATCCCTAAGGATGTCGATAGGTGTTCTCGAGCAATCGGCGAATTTTGGTACGCAGATAGATTCACATGGAACCCAAAATACCTGGTTCAGAGGAACCTCCTTTTGCCGGAAGCCACCTTTGGGTCCGAACTCAATTTGCTGAGCAAATGAAAAGGAACCAACGAAAGGAGAGCATGGGTAGAGCCTTGGTTCAATTCCATTCACCCGAACAGGTCCGATCTCAATCATTCATGCTTGAACATGAGTGTGCCTAGGTGTCCTTGTGGCAAAATGGCTGGATTCCAAGCTGAAACCAGCCTTGCATTTAATAGCTATGTCCAACCAAAACTGACCCCAAAAGGACACTCAACGCGATTGAACCCGCCCAAAGCGGTCTGGGGGTTCCCTACATCGGGAGCCGTTTGTGTTCGTGGGGTGTTCGTGGCCCAAGGCTCTCACCTTGACTCCCGCTTTTTTCTCCATCCAGGTGGGGCCACCCATCTCATAGCCCACAACGTTGACCCCAGCAAAAGATCAACCCCAGTGTACGAGTAGGAAAATTGGGCTCTTCTAAAGTGGTCTGATTCCCCACTAGACCCAGGGACATCCCCTAGTAATAAAGTGGGGTTGATTCAATATGGGGTCAACATTAGGTGTCCTTTTAGGAAAGTCATGGCCCTGGCACATGATCAAACCAATAGCTCTACCAGGGCCCTGCTTCTTTTGGAAGAAAACTGAAAAGGACACCTATGCTCATAGTCCTGCCTTCTCCGAAATGGACCCGACAAAAAAAACAACAACAATCGCAAGCCATGGATCCGACACCCGTGTGCCACAAGACAAGGGGGCCATCAGAAACCAATACCCCCAGTCAGAGAGCTGTCCGTTTGATTCCACAGAAACGTTTGGAGGGTTTTCAACAGGCGCCAACCTCAACTCACCTATCGAACATCTTGAGCCGCAAGGAGGAAACCAGCCATTTTGAGGCAACATTTGAAGACAAGCCCACAACCCAACAAGTCAGTGACAGACGGCCCGGAACATGTACGGTGCCAAAATGGAGCTCAAAGCCGGCCGACTGGATGCCTACCCCAGTCAGAAACAGAAACCTCTCTACTTGGATGATCAACCCACTTAGTAGGGTGTAACAGTTGTTTTGGTTGGCACCGGAAATAATGGATCCAACCTAGTTAGTTACTAAGTTCTGGACAACATTCATGCCACAGCACGCTACCAATTGTTGCCCTCTGCTAGCACTCTCGCGGCAGGTAATCTACAGGTGGGTCATCCAAAACGAATCCTGGAGAACCAGATTGAGAATTTGGACCTAGGTTTCAATCACGAACCGAAACAAGTAACCCTTCCACTATCAGGGAACATGACTGAAGGTCCCCTTTCCATGTTAGTTGGTGGGAAGGCAATATGAATCACAAGAGCGGCCGGCCTTTTGCTGGTCTGGGGCTTGTCCTTTCATCTCTTCGCGCACTCTCTCCTGCAAAACAAAATGCGGAATCCAAACAAGCCTCGAGAAGGGTGTTCAGTTGAGGTAGTAAGTCTCCAGCTCCTGCACCGACCAGGAATTGTAGTTTCCGCAGAAATCGTTCCTGCAATCCGATTTCGCGTAGCTTCCCACTCGGCAGTTGTACGAGTGCCCGATGTTGCAGTACCCGCCCCAGGTGTTGTATATAACAAAGTCGTGACCTCCACCAAAGCAGGGCCCATAGTCTGCGCGGTCGTAGGTGACATAATTGGTGTTCTTCACCTCACTTGCCCCCGACCCAAAAAAAAGAGAGCCTAACTCACGAGTGGATTGGCCAAAAAACGTTGGAACTTCTTATTTACGGCCAAAATGGTCCTCCCAAGAAGCGCGTTTAACGTACTCAGGAAGTGAGTCAAAGGTGCTCACCCATTGGCAGCAAAGGACTAAAACGGGAACCCAAAAAGGGAGAAGCCCGCTTCGCTTTCGCTTTTGCGTGAGTCACCGTGTGCAGAAAGGAGTTGGTCAATGAGAAAAGTGCTCCCTTGCCGTAGCTTGAGCTCCAGTATCTGCTGTTGGCGCCCTTCCAGGGGATGCTGGTCATCCCTCCAATCACCCTGCCGGTGCTCAGCTTGATGATGCTGATGGTCTTGCCCTTGTTATTGCATTGACCTAAGGTGACTCAGAGCTGACAGCGTATCAGAAAACACCAAGCCCAGCAAAGCGGGGATCTAAGCCTGGTGCTTTTTGGTCCAGTATCTTTCATGGCTTGCGACGGGTGGCAGACCTGGAGCCAAAATCAAGAAACCTGTTGGATGCCTTGTTCGCAGATTCCATTCATGTTCACCCCAGAGTAATCAACCCCAGCTTCTTCATAGGGGAGTGGGGGCTCTTCAAAAGTGGTCTGATTCCCACTACCCCAGAGAGAAGCAAGGGTTGATTAATATGGGTTCAACATTAGTCTTCGCCGGTACCCTTTGAGCACCATCAGGGACAGATTCACACTGCACCCTGGACAGCGGACCAAACGGCCCATATTTCCCCAAGTGACCTGGAAACTTGGGCTTGGGAACTTGCTGGTAGGGGCCCGTCCTGTCTCGACAAAAAAAAACGTTTGGGTCGATTCCTATCTTGAGACACACCTCTTTGATATTTTTGCCAGTCAGGGCTTTTCCATGTTGCTTCAACATCCGCCGGGTCCTCCCAAAACGGACAGGCAGCCAATACCCTCCTGCCAAACACCATTTTGCCAGTCCTCTTGGAAAAAGCCTGCGCGCTTTCTTGCTATGTAGAGGGACATATTTGGGTAGATTATTGTAAATCCCAAACTAGAAATACGAAACCCTAGCCCAAGACCGTCTTACGGGCAACTCCCAAACCAAAACTTCCGTCTGCCGGAGCTGGTTTAGCTTCCAGAAACCTTGCCATTTCAGCTCTGGGCGCTGTGCCAGGTTGAGCCAGTTCCTCCATGCGTGGACTTGCGGTAGCACAACGTCCAGCCCGAGGTCGCCCAGCCAAACTGCTGCATCCAGCCACTAATCAACCTGCGGTCTGAAAGAAACCTGTGCCTCTTGGTTCACCATGTTTTTTGGCCGCGCTCATGTTGACCCCATTTTCATCTATTAATCAACCCCAGGTAAAGTGGTCTGATTACCCGCTAAACCCAGGGACACCTATTAATAAACTGGGGTTGATTAATATGGGGTCAATATGGGTCAACATTAAGGCGCTTTGCGGTACAAGAAAAGGCCAGGTGTTAGAGTGGGGAAGATCGATGCGTGCGCAAGTGTTTCGGGATCGATGCGTGCGCGAGTGTTTCGGACTACGCCAGTCTGGCGCAAAAGTTGTGTGAAATCCGCGACTGGAGGACGGCCACGATGCGAGGCGATTGGTTCCGAACGCGGGCTGCACATTTGAGCAGTGAACTTGTTCTTTGTGTCCCCAACTGACATGGGGATCTAGTGAACCCCCATTTTCAAATGATTGATAATATAGGGTTAGTGTGACCCATGCCCATTTACTATAGATATGAGTTACTTTGCCCTGCAGAAGCTGGAAATCCTGAAATATTGATTTTGTCATGGGGTGTTTTACTCTGTAGCTCGGCGCGCACCGCGCTCCAAAAAACGAATGGCAGTCGCGACCATTTTGCGCTGTGCTGCGTGATGGTCCACAAGGAGCTTCGTATCCCCGGCAGGACTGGGCCGACTTGAGAAAGCGATGATGCACCTGCACACGCTGAGCTTCTGATTTGCAAATGACTCTACTCCAAGCGGTGTCTCGCAATGACGCTTCCGGAGCAAGCGCTCCATCCCGGGTGACCCTCGCAGAGAAACCCTCGCAGAGAAACTCCATCGTACAAATGTCTAACATCGAAAGCGATCTGTCTGCAAACTTCGGGCGTGTCGCATCTCTCTGGCTCTGGCTCTGATGCAGTGCAAATATGTTGAGAAGCGAACACTTTAAAGCGCAATTTTGGGCCAGCATCGCTCTCCATTCGGCGCGATACAAATTTGGAACATCGAAAGCGCACCCAGCCTTGAGCTGTATCAATCGCTTTCGCTGTGGCGCGGTGCGCGGGTGAATTTTAAAAGTCAATTTTCTGCGGATGTCCGACGCGAAATGGGAACATCCAAGGTGGCAACTTGCCCTTGCCCTTGGGCGGGGTTCCAGTGTCCGAACCGGACCGTGCTTGCGCTGAGTTCTCGTGCTGAGATCACTATGCAGAATATTGCCCATAGATGTGATTGGAACTGCGCAAATCGTTCTTTCGCGCAGATCTTGCAGAACGCTTGTGCGAAAGACCTTGCAGAGCTGCTTGCAAGGGAGCTTCCTTGCGTAATTATGTTGCAGATACATTGCCAGGATGCCCCCACGATGTTTCAGAGGTCGATTCAAAGAGGTCGGGGGGGGGGGGGGGTTCTTTGCGGGCGGGTCTCCCCCCCAAGATTCTGCGCAGAGATCTGAGAGAGAACTTCGCGAGGGACTATGTTCCACCAACATGGTTCGATGAGGGGTACTTTGCCGGGAGACTTATTTGAGGGACAAGGGGGAAGCGGTTGCGACCCATTCTGCAATGTGTTTTGAAAGTTGGGACCCTGCCAAGAGACAGCTTAAATCCAAGCATGGAGTTGCCACTGGAGGGCCCCAACAGTGTGCGTGGCACATGTGGGTGCTAATGTTTGCTGGAAATCGAGCCATTGGCCAGAGCTCTCCCACAGATTCATACCAGGGGGGTCATACATCGGTCAGTGACGTGCAGGCAAAACCGCCAGTGAAGGGATTCGGCCGGGGCGGCCGACTTTTGATTTCTGTTGTTTTTTGCATCTTCCAGGGTCAAAGTTCACACCCATTCCGGAAACAGCCAACTTGCAAGGAAACCAAATCCAGGAAACAAATGAAGAGAACGTTTATATCCAATGAACAGAACGACTCACTGCAGCACAAAACACGGGGGTCCGATTTGATTCTTCCTGGGTGAGATTCTGCAAAAAATAGGGAAGAGGCCATCCAAAACAAAATGGGGTGGATTCTGCAACGCGTGCTTGTTCTCCTGATCTGATTCTCGTCGGTGACCAGGTGGGAACCTTGCAACAAGAGCGACTCCTCACAGCATTCGTCCCGCAAAGCTCCGAAGATGTTCTGCGCGTTGTCCTTTTGAGCCTAGGGGCAAATCTCGTGGTATTGCTGCCATGATTCACAAGCCTTTTGCGGACCTGCGTGCTGCCCAAGTCGCGTAGCCCCAGGGGCAGGTGAAGCTGTCGCACTTGGCACAGCACTCCGCGATGCAGGTCTTGGCCTGAGTAGTTCTGAGCTCTTGACCTGCGGGGGTTTGCCTCCCCCACAAATTGACGGCTTGCTGGGTTCCACACTCATGCTCTGCAACGTTAACACCTGATTTGTGGGAATGCCTTCCTTCCTTCCTTTCTTCCTTTCCTTCTCTTTCTTGCTAGGGGTCTGGATCCCCTGATTGATAACTAAGGGCTTATACTGTAAGGTTGGGTTGCAGTGGCTCGCCCTTGCTGCGCTTGCAAATCAGTACAGGCTGAAGGGAAGAGGACATCCACCTCCGATAAGGATTCCTAAAATTTGATACATTCCAAAGGCAATGAGGGCCAAGAACATCCATCCCCAGCAAGGATTTCATATCCTACTTACATCCGACAATCTTCGCAAAGGCCATCCCTACAAGTAGACAACCATTTCACCCGTAAGTGCCATAGTCAGGTCATGACTCCCTGCGCATTGCAAGAATGACGCTCTGCAAGTCCATATGCAGCCCAAAAAGGGGCCCCCGAACAGTCTTATGGGTGGGGTTCGGGGTTCCACGGTTAACAGGTATAAAAGGAGATTTGTCTCCTCCTTACCTTGGCCCACATTTGCGGTGTGAACTTCCTGACTGCCCTTAAGGCCAGCCTGCCGAGGAGTGCAGGGCTGTCCTACTGTGCGCACAGCGGGGCGGGCATCAGTGATGTGTTCAAGGAAAAACTGAACATCTCAGATTCAGTTTCATATTCTGTCTCCCCTGGCTTTCTCCCCTTCTTTCGTGCTTTTTGCAGGCGCACAAAAAAAACGATGTTCTCAGCTTCTCTTGCCCAAAACCCCCCCCCCCCCTCCCCCAACATCCCACAGACCCCCCCCCCTCCTCTCTCCCCTTAAAACCGCTCCCCCCCGGCCCACATTCGCCAGACCCCCCTCTTCCCCCTCTTCTCCCCGCCTGGGCGTTGCTGGGCAGCGTGTCGTAGTGGGTCTCCGCGTAGCTGGCGCTCTGCACGGTGTTCGAGGCGCTGGCGCAGCTCTTCGGGTCTCGCGGCACCTGGAAACCGCGGCCGACGGACGCGGGGCCCCGCGGACGCGGGGCCCGACTTGGGAAACGACCCGCTGGAGACGTGGTCTCAAAAACTGGGACCGGCGCCTTCGGAAGACGTCTCCCTTTTTGCCCAACGGGTGGGGGAAAAAACGACAAAAAAGCTGGCTCTCTCTCTCTTTTTTTGCAGCCCCCCCGCCGACTAAAAATGAAGAGAACCACAAAAAACAATAACACGCAAACGACAAAAGAGTCGGACGAGCTGTGCTTTTTGATCCTTGGTTTGCCCGGGAAACACAACGGGTCGGGCGAGCTATGATTCTTTGCCCGTCCTTTGCCCGGGAAACAGGACGGGTTGGCTGTGTTTGTTTGTTTTCTTTTTGTTTTTTGCTTACCTTTCCTGATGTGCCCGGGAAACAGGATGGGTTGGACGAGCTGTGGTTTTTTGCCCGTCCTGATGTGCCTGGGAAACGTCCGCACTGTAAGAAGAGGTTTGCCAAGTGGCAGCAGGCGGCAGGTTCCTCTAAATCTCAAGCCCAAAAGGTGATATTCAACCCACCCACAAAACAAGCAGTGTGACCCGCATGGAGTCTTTCCAAGCGATTTCCTCTTGCCGAGTGGCTTGAAGAACTCGATTCCTCTTGGACAAGTTCCAGTTGATTGGGTTCTTACTTAAAGCACATGCGTCACGCGTAAAATGTGTTGGTGTCCTTTTGTGACCTGAGCATACCCTGCTTCCACCACTTCCCCTCAGGACCCCTCCGGTCAACCCTGAAACATGCAGCGGTATCCTCAAAAAGGATGTGTGTCAAAATCCAAGCTGAAAAGGGTACCCTCACACTCAAAAAGCCCAGAAACCCTCAGGCTGGAGCTGTCTTTCCAGAAAGAATCAAAGGCACCAAAGAGGGGACTTGAATGGGTGGCCCGGGCGATTGAATAAGGTGTGTACAAAAAAACTCAATTGGCCTCCCCAATCAAAAACACCCATTCAAAAAAAAAGAAACAAACAAAATCAACAGGAGTTCAAAACACAACTTTGAACTCAACTATCTTCCCCAATCAAAATCATCCACTTTAGAAACTGTAGAAAAGAACTCCCCCCAATCAAAATCAACCAGGGCTTCAAAACAAAACTCAACTCCCTCCGAATCAAAATCAACCTGTTCCAAAGACCCAACTCTCCCCAATCAACATCAACCAGGGATCCAAAAAAACAATCTCAACTGGCGTCCCCAATCAAATTCAGCCCGTTCAAAAGACCCGACTCCGGGTCTCCTCCAATCAAAATCATCCACGAGGCGTCCCCAATGAAACGCAACCCATTTCACGAAAAGCATTTGCCCCCAAGCAAAATGAACCAGAAGCTCCAAAACAAAACTAAACTGGCTTCCAGAAACGAACTCAACCCACAGAAAGAAAAAGAAGAAGAGAAAACCACTCAACTGCCCCCAATCAAAAGCAAGCAACGGTTCAAAACACAACTCAACTGGCTTCACCAATCAAACTCAACCTCTATATTAAAAAAAAATCAACACCAACCAGGGATTCAACCACTCAACTGGTTTCCCCAAGGGAAAAAGCCTTTCCTTGTTTTTCGTGCCCCCAATCAACATCAACCAGGGTCCAAGGAAAAAAACTCAACTGGCTTCCCCTATCAAACTCATCCCTTTTTCTCCTAACAAAGTTGCCCCATATTCAAATCAACCAGGGGTTGAAATAAAAAGCACAACCGGCCAATCAAAGTCATAACCCGGGCTTCATTCAAAAACTCATTCAAAAAAACTCTCTGCTCCAACCCAAGGCCCTTTGCCTTGGCCGGGTAGGTCAAGGACAACGCGGCGTCCGCGGCGGGCTGGAAGTCCTCGCCAGCGGTGTTCATCTAAGGGGAACTTCTCGGGGGGGGGAAGGAAAACAGGGGGGGGGGGGAACCTTTAGCTTAAAAAAAGAAAAAGGGGAAGCCCGAGTTGGTGAAGAGATTTGGCTGTGGGTCAAAACCCCTCGAAACCCCTGGTGAACATCAAAATAGGTGGCAAATGGAAATTCATCCACCCCAAAATGGAGCCATAGGTTTTGCCCCATGGCCATTTTGCAAGACCCGTTCTTGAAGGAACCCATTCTTGAAAATTACTTTCGGGGGGGGAAATCTATTTTAGTAGTTAAGAGAGCAATTGGTTGGCCCATTTGGACGTGCAAATCTTAGGTTAAGTCACTCGAATCACGCGTCCTTGTCGTTGCACGCCTTCATCGCTGCAGCCCGTTCATTGTCGCTCTTGCTGAAGACGCCGAGCAGGCACTGCATGTGCATCAGCGCAATCCATTCGCTCTTCAAGCTCGCCTCCTCACAAGAAATTTGGCGTGCCTCGTCTACCCTGAAAGGCCAAAGTGAGACTCCAGGCTGCCTGTGAGCCTGATAAAGGCATCCCCCTTTTGACCTACAAAAAAAAGGCATCCCCTAAAATCCCAAGAGCAAAGGTCTCCAGGGGATGCCAAAAACCCAAAGGCAGTGGATGAACCTAAGAAAGCCAAGGTCAAAATCCACAGGAAAGAAAGGCCTCCAGCCAAACCGATGGCCTTCCGCCATAAAAACCGCCGAGGCTTGTTGCGCCGGCGGAATTCCGGTGGGTCGACATGGGTGGAGCCGGAGCCCGTATGTTGTGGGCGGAACCCGTGTTCTCAATGACGTTTCTCTGGGTTTTTCCCGGTCAAACCAATGCTCGCTTCCTGCGCGGAAGTGGCCAAAAAGAAGTCTGCACCTTTTTTGTCACGTACCACTGAAACGGTCCAAACCCAAGTGACGAAAGAAGAAGAAGAAGAAGAAAACAAAGGACAAGAAATGAAGAAAAAAAACAAGTTTTCCGGGAAAAAAAACTCAGGGAGTGAGTCGGTTGGCCCTAAAAACAACCCCAACACGACAACGCGGCGTTTGCCGGCGGCCGGCATCGGAAAGCGCTCCTGGCTCTGCACCGAGCTCTTGTCCGAGTTGTAGGAAGTGGTGGCCTTGTGGGGCCCAGTGAAAGCGAGCCGTTCGGGCGGTGGCCGTCGCTTGGCTCTCGCCGGCGGCTTTCTCCGTCCGCTGTCCGACCCCCGTTCGGTGGCTTGGCCGGAGCCGACTCGCTGGGCTTGGGGGTGAAATGGAATTCCAGGGGTGGTCCAATTTGAAATAAACCCTCTTGGAAAGCCAGGGGTTTGAAGCCCAAACGAAGCTAACTTCAGGGTTCCACTCAAAGAGACCAAGCCAGGGGAGGGAAACCCAAGGAACTCTTCGAAAGGAAACGGGTGGAATCTTAGCGAATATGGTCTTCACCGGAAAAACCACCTGCTGGAATAATACTGTAGGGGGCCTACTGAGGTGTTGCCCCAAAAACGTGAAGGATTCCCACAAAACGGGACATCCCCAATCAAAATCAACCGAGGGTCCGGCTTTTAATCCTGGGTTCCCATTCAAGCAGCGGGAAAAAAAAACGTTTCGCGGCCTTCTCGTTGCAGGCTGCGTACTCCTCGCAAACCGTCGCAGAAGTCGACAAAACCGTACATGACGCCGTGTCCATAGTCTCCTTCAGGGTTGAAAATGGAGTCTCCTGTCGGTTCCCTTTAAACCCACCCCCAAAAAGGGATACGTGCTGCCTTCTTCCCCTGAGAAATTAGGTCACAAAAGGGTCCGATCCCGCATACCCACATTGTAGCCTTGGTTGGAATACTGATAATGCAGGAATCAAACAGAAGTGGCAGAACCAAGCAACCTGATTCACAACTTACCGTTCTTCCAAAAGGAGATTGTACTTTGCATCCCAACTAATCCTAGGGAAGCATCCGACCTGATTGAACCGCAATGTCAACTTCGGATTAATCCGCAGGACCCTGTCAAACACTCCCCCAACAAGAATAGATCGTTTCCTTCCCAAAACGAGAACCACCTCTGCTTCGTACGGTCCTCCGGATGAATCCAAAGTTTTTTCATGAACTTTTCCCCTTCAACAGGGATCCTTACATTATACACCTGAACATTGTCTTGTAAATGGTGGCATCCCTTCATTTTTGGTGCAAAAAAACGTGTTTCAATTGGGCAAAATGTATCTTTTGAGGAGCCCTGTTCAGAGGGAGTCCCAAGCGGATCTTTGAGCGGCGGGCCTGCTGGGTGTTGCAGGCTGCCCTCTGCTTCTCCCACTCGCTCTTCAGCCCAGTGCACTCGGCTACCTTTGCGTCATAGTCCTCAAAATGCCATGGGCAGAGAACTGAGGGAGGGAATGGTCTCCAGAATTTCATAGTCCCAAAACGGGAAAGAACGGGTAGTGTATGCAAGCTAACCAAACGGCACCACACACGAGCACGCGATAACTCTTTCATCCGAGCAGTGTGTTGGTGCCAGGGACTCATCTTCCCCTGTCAGATGACCAACGCTGGGTGGGCCCCATGGGCCACCCAACTCACAATTCTCAAAAACTGAAGAACGGGTGTGCAGACTGATAGCGCCCGCCCCTGAGCCGGGGCCCGTGGCACCCAGGCCACAGGGGGGTCTGCCACCAGGGGAAGTGAGTCACCCACCGGCTCCGGTCACGGGAGCATGGGTGGGCCCACGCTGAGATCAAATGCATCTCCATTCAGGAGACGCGGGAGAAAAACAAACTCCTCACAGAGTTCCTGCTTGGGGACCCTTTGCAAAGGGTCGAACCCAGAGAAATCTGGGTGCGTCAGCTCATCAGCCCATTGATTGAATTCACGGGGCACATGGTTGGCCGCCAGCGAGCAGCCATGGGTGTGGAGCAGGAAGACCAGCTCCATCAGGATCGCCGCCGTGTAGGGCTTCTTGGATCCAAGGTTGAGCATCGCCATGACGTTGCCCTGATTGTCACTGCCCACCGGGAGTCGGACCCGGGAGGACAGAGGGCCTTGGTGCGTGAGGATCATGTTACAGAGGAAGAGCGTGCCCAGCATCTCCAGAGCTGCAATCCTCCGCTTTGGATCCCCATTCTTGAAAGCCCAAGGGTACTCCTCCACGTGGATCTGCTCATGGAACCAGTACACCTCCTTCTTGTCCGGTTCCACTGTGTTGGAGCACCAACCTCCCACAAATGCCAGTCCGTCGTCCGAGGCGCTAGCGTCGCTGCAACCCCACCAAGAGGACTTCGGCAAGTAGGGGGAGTACTGGACGAAAGGCGTGTTGAAGAGGAACCGCAGCATGAACGCCAGCATCCTGACCACCTTGGGGGGTTTCCCCACCGTGGTGGTGGCCATCTTCCAGGCCCAAAGTGGCTGGAGCATCGACTTCGCCAGCGGACATGCAGCCGTTGCCCATTGGATGCGGCCCAGGGCCTTCTCGATGTCCTTTGAGTGCATCGCCTGCCCTTCCACCATGGTCTGCAAAACCTCCATGACCAGGATGTGTTTGTTGGCTGCCATGAGAACCTGCGGGATGGGTGGACCACGAAGCCCAGCCATGTGTTAACCTCCGCCAAGTGCGTCTTCTTCCAGCTAAGTGGGGTGCCCAATGCCAGGAGTGTGGCCAGCAGCGCCACCGCCAAGTTCACTGCCCCCTCGCTTCGAAGCAGCCACAGGAAGTCGTCGACGAAGACGACTGGCCATGCCGTATGTGCCTACCTTGCTCACCCACCATTCTTCCCCCAGTGAGGCCACCTGGAACCGCCAGTCCTTCCTGAGGACCTTCACTCTCCGGTGGGCCTTGGTGACGTCCGCCTTGAGCAGCACCCACCTGGTGCCCGGCTCCGGCCATAGCCAGCCCCCAGGTGGAGGTTTGACAGTCCCCCCCTCGGGGCCAGAGGCACCCTGAGAGGGGGGTCCCTCCGCAGCTGCCGCATGTAGCCAATGGAGAGCTTGAACCCCATCCAGCACCGTCGGAGCCGTCGTCCTTTCCACCGTCTGGTTCCTGATGGTGTCATTGGCCCCTCCCACCGAGCCATCGTAGATCGTGCGGATCTTGTCCCCCTCGTCGATGCCCGCTAGGGGGCCGGGACAAAGGTCCTCGCTGTCGCAGCCACATCGCGATGCTGCCTCCTCCTTACTGAAGGGGCCCTCCACCATGCCCATGGGGACCTCCTCCAGATGTGCCCCTCCTCCGCCAGTTGCCCCTGCCCCGTTGGGTGGGGGAGTTCCTGGAACTCCGGCTCCTCCCCTTTCAGCTCCTTCTTGAGTGGCCAGATGCCCGGCGAGGTCAGGGGTGGGTCCGTGACCCCCAGTGGGACCCCTTGCTCCAGGTCCCGGGGAAACTGGTGGTCGGGGTCCTGAATGTTCAGCGCCACGCTGTGCAAGATGTCCAGGAAGAAGGGTTGGCCGTCCGCTGGTCGGCCTGCCCCCGGCGCCAGAATCTCCCTGATGTCCTCCAGCAGGTCCTCCGGGAAGGGATGTGACCCATCCCCCAACGAGAGCGACTCCTGGAGCTTGTCCCCCCACGGCGAAGTGAGGACACAGATCTTGGCCCCCAGCACTGCTGCTTTGGACAGCGGTCGGGCCCACGGGGCCAACCGTCCCAATGAGGGCTTTCCTCCACCGTCTCTTAAGGGACGCTGCTTGAAAGCCATCTGGAGGTACAAGATATTGGGGTCGTGCGTGATCGGCAGGATCTCCATGCCCTGGTGTGCCCATGGATCCAGGGGAAGAGTTCCCCCCCCAAGTTCATCCACCTCGCCAGTCCTCTGTGTCGATGTCCCCGCCTCTGGATTATCCGAGGCCGAGACCGGAAGTGAGCCCAAGGTCAGACCTGCCAACGCTTGTTGGCCCGCCTTCAGCCTTCGGGACTGGCGCTTGTTGTCCCCCGGCGTGCTGGGAGAAGGTTCCCTTGGACGCCTCCTCTGGGTCTCTCTGGGGGGTCTACCCACTGCCTCGGTGGGTGCGGGGGGAAGGGATGCTTCCGCCCTTCTGGAGTGCCCTGGCTGGGACCGCTCCTCTTCTTCGGTGGAGGGGCTTCCGGGGCCGGTGGCGTCCCCTCCCATCTGAGGCCGTCCTGGCCTCCCCCGCTCTGTCTGCCATCCGCTGTGGCTCTGGTGGGGCTGGCTCTCCCCCTCTGTGTGCACTCTCGCACTGGTGGCCTGAGATCCCAACTGAGACCGGGAAGCCACGGGGCCTATGGCACCCTGGGTGGCCTCCTGTCACTTGGGAAGGTGAGGGCATGCCTGTGGAGCATGCTTCGATGGGGACCGGGCAGTTGTGGGAACGGCCGCACGATCCCGAACACTTGTTGTGGAGGTGATGATCTCTGCAGTACGCCACCCCTTTGGGATTCTTGAAAGCCCAGTGGTCCGGCCATGGAACCGAGGGGGAGTTGGGGGATTTCCCTTTGCCGCCCTTGCCCTTTGGCTTGGACCTGGTCGGCCCCGAGGGCCATGCGCCTTTCCCCCCCTTCTTCGGCTTCTCCCACTGAGTCTGCCACACCTTAGGTGCCTTGCCCTTGTTCTTCCCCTTCTCCGGCGCCCTGTTGAGGTGCTCATAGACCTCCCGTTGCCAGAAGAGGAAGTCGCCCCTGATATTCTTGAGGGCATCGGAGAGGGTGGTGCCCTGGTGCACCATCTCGTGGATCTTCCTCCACGCATTGCGCTCTGCAAACAGCAAGGTAGTGTCACTCGGGGGAGGCCTTCTGCCAGCGATGTCCTCCCCATAGAACCAGTCATACCAATCAGCTCCGCCTTGGTGACCTTCAGGTTGCCAAACTGTGGCAGTGCCGCCGTGCACATCAGGAGCGTCGTCCTGAAAGTTTGGTGCAAACGTTCCAACTGGCGCCGGGATGTGGGGTGGCTCCTCACCTCTTCTTCATCCTCCCTGTCCCAGCCGTCCACCGTGATCTTCTTGTGGGTGGATGAGGGGCGTTCCCCTTCTTCCGGGAGCGCGCTCACGATGTGTTTTGCCGGGATGTAGCCCAGCTCACCCTTGGCAATCAAGCGCCACTGCTTCTTGAGGTAGCCATCACTCCCTTGGAACTCCAACCTCGGCTTCGGGGTCCCATGAATGGCCACGTAAGCATCCTCCAGCTGGCGCCTGTCACACAGGACCTCCAGGGGCGCCTTTGTCGGGCCCGCCTGGCCCGCCGGGTGATCCCCTTGGTTGCCCCCCCGGACCAAGCTGGCTGCCACCCGGACTGCCTGCAGGAGGCGCATCGCCGTGAAGGCCGAGGCCGAGCCCATCCCGGAATCCCAGGTCCCGGGGACCATTCTCCCTAGCCGCCGCTGGGGTGTCCCAGCGATCCGCCAGGTCTTCCACCGTGACGTATCCCGATGCGCCCATAGCTGCCTGGGCTGCCCAGGGGATCTGCTTCCCCACCAGGATGGCCGCCAATGGCTTGTGCAGCTTGGCCACGTCCTCCTTGAACTCTTCTGGGACCTCATCCGGGGGTTTGGCCGCCATGACCCCCGACCTTGGTGTGGGTGGGTGGGTTTTTCACACAAGTTGGGTTCAGAGAACCCAAGAACAAAGCTTGAGCCAAAATGGCCGGGGCCATTATGGTCAAGCATTTCAAACACAGTTCATGTTTCCACATGCGTTTCAACATTAACAAATAATTATTGACATTCCAATAGTCACCCCCTCTCCCAAATCCATTTTTCAGGGGGCGGCGATCCCTTGACATTTTACGAGGGTACCCTCCTTGTTGGCGCGGCTGGTTTGTTCTGGCCCCAGCGTTTTGAGATGGCACTGTGCGAAAATCAAACTCCCACATCCCACAGCTTCCTGCTCTCTTCTGTTTTGTCCGGGGGTTCCAGCGAGTCCCTCTGGCATTCGCGAGTGCCTGAGTGGAAGGTTCGGTCGGGTCATGGGAAAAGTGGTCAGCTTTGAATTTTCGGGGCGGACAAAGTGAGGTCCCCTGGCTTTCCTGGCGACATGAGGGAGTCCCATGGCTTGCGCGGGCGGTCCCAGGAAAAAAATCTCGTGAAGGCCCCCTGGGCGTTTTTGTGAGGAATTTCCTGGGTCGAAATAGCGAGTGCGCTCCAGGACTTGCGGCATTTGTGTGGAATTTGAGTCCTCCATTTGGGTGTGGTGAAAAGTGGCTACCCAAAATGAAACCCATGGAAACTAGGACTGAAACCTGCAGTGCCCTGGTGATTGAATTTTGACCCATACTGTACAGTTTGTGCATTCAGATCCGTGTTGTTTTTTTGATATGGTTGAGGTCTGCGGTTCTTTGTGGGAAATTGGTAAGGACCTCACGTTCTTTGTTCGGAAGTAAGTTAGTCCCCCTCATTTTCGGCATGAATTCCACTTTTCACTGCCCGTCAAATGAGGCGGTAGAACCACCCAAAGTTGCCATGTGGGGGGTGGCGTCCATTGTTTTCATGACATTGAGAAGGCGAAACACCAAAAACAGTGAATATTTGGTCCAATATCACTTTGCTTAAACTGCCCTACATAGTCTTTACATACCCGTTGGATGGTGTTGCATGAAAACCAACAGGGGGAAGGTGCGGAAGTGCAAGTCATTATGTAGTGTTGGGGAAGAATGACAAGAAGCCTCAGTTAACGATTGCTGGAGCGATGTCCTTCCGATTCAAATCACACCTGCATCAACGTAACGACTTATCGCCAAGTAAACAACTGAGACAGTAAGAAAATGTCTTTCGAATAAATGCGCGCGGACGAAGATGACTAGGGATTGGTGGGTTTCGGGCAGGAATTTAATATTTCAAAAGTTGTATGCTTCTACTAGCCGTACTCGCAACTGGATTCGTAAGCATTGGGTCACGCGACCTTCTTGCAACACCCGACTGGCAGAGACCCCCGAAAATGGAATCCTGGAATCCGGACCCTCATGACACCCATAAAAAGTAGACCCGGATGGGCTTCTTGATCCGGAGTTCCCATCTGTCCAAATTGCAATTTGGAGGCTTTCCCAAAATTGAATTTATCCCTTTCCTTTAGGCTGCCTTCATTGTTCCTTCTTGGGGGCCGTTGTTTTGGTTTCCCTTTTTGGGATTCTCAAACGGTCTGTGGCTTACCCCAAGTAAACCAGGCAGACCCTGCCGCTAAAGTTTGAACCTGTTCATCAGTTTCGGGCACTAAAACAGATTCTGCTGTCCTTCACGCCTTCCCGCAAATAAGCCGGGTACCAAAAAGACCCAAATAAACTGAATGCCCCCCCCCCAAGGATGGATGGATGGATGGATGGATGGATGAATGCATGCATGCATGGAGGGTGGGATGGGATGGGATGGGATGGGATGGGATGGGATGGGATGGGATGGGATGGGATGGGGATGGGGATGGGGATGGGGATGGGGATGGGGATGGGGATGGGGATGGGGATGGGGATGGGGATGGGATTGGGATGGGATGGGGATGGGGATGGGGATGGGGATGGGGGATGGGGATGGGGGATGGGGATGGGGATGGGGATGGGGATGGGGATGGGATTGGGATGGGATGGGATGGATAGGATGGATGGGGATGGGGATGGGGATGGGGATGGGGATGGGGATGGGGATGGGGATGGGGATGGGGATGGGGATGGGGATGGGGATGGGGATGGGGATGAGGATGGGCATGGGGATGGGGATGGGGATGGGGATGGGGAGGGGGATGGGATGGGGGGATGGATGGGGGATGGGGATGGGGATGGGGATGGGATGGGATTGGGATGGGATGGGATGGGATGGGATGGATGGCATGGGCTGGGATGGATGGGATGGATGGGGATGGGGATGGGGATGGGGATGGGGATGGGGATGGGGATTGGGATGGGATGGGATGGGATGGGATGGATGGCATGCTCTGGGATGGCTGGGATGGCTGGGATGGATGGGATGGATGGGATGGATGGGGATGGGGATGCGGATGGGGATGGGGATGGGGATGGGGATGGATGGATGGATGGCATGGGCTGGGAGGGCTGGGAGGGCTGGGATGCATGGGGATGGGGATAGGGAGGGGGATGGGGATGGGGATGGGGATGGGGATGGGATTGGGATGGGATGGGATGGGATGGGATGGGATGGGGATGGGGATGGGATTGGGATGGGATGGGAAGGGATGGGATGGGATGGGATGGATGGCATGGGGATGGGGATGGGGATGGGGATGGGGATGGGGATGGGGATGGGGATGGGATGGGATTGGGATGGGATGCGATGGGATGGGATGGGATGGGATGGATGGCATGGGCTGGGATGGGGATGGGGATGGGGATGGGGGATGGGGATGGGGATGGGGATGGGGGATGGGGATGGGGATGGGGGGATGGGGATGGTACGGGGATGGGATGGCGGGATGTGGATGGGATTGGATGGGATGGGATGCGTATGGATGGGATGGGATGGATGTGCATGCTGGGATGGATGGGATGGATGGGGATGGGGATGGGGATGGGGATGGGGATGTGGGGATGGGGATGGGGATGGATTGGGATGGGATGGCGGATGGGATGGGATGGGATGGGATGGGATGGATGGCATGGGCTGGGATGGATGGGAGGGATGGGGATGGGGATGGGGATGGGGATGGGGATGGGGATGGGGATGGGGATGGGGATGGGGATGGGGATGGGGATGGGGATGGGGATGGGGATGATGGGGATGGGGATGGGATGGGATGGGGATGGGGATGGGGATGGGGATGGGGATGGGGATGGGGGATGGGGATGGGGATGGGGATGGGGATGGGGATGGGATGGGATGGGATGGGATGGGGATGGATGGGATGGGGATGGGAAGGGGTGGGATGGGATGGGATGGATGGCATGGGCTGGGATGGCTGGGATGGATGGGGATGGGGATGGGGATGGGGATGGGGATGGGGATGGGGATGGGGATGGGGATGGGGATGGGGATGGGGATGGGGATGAGAAAGGGGATTGGGATGGGGATGGGGACGGGGATGGGGATGGGGATGATGGGGATGGGGATGGGATGGGATGGGGATGGGGATGGGATGGGATGGGGATGGGGATGGGGATGGGGATAGGGATGGGGATGGGATGGGATGGGGATGGGGATGGGGATGGGGATGGGATGGGATGGGATGGGGATGGGGATGGGGGGATGGGATGGGATGGATGGGGATGGGACAGATGGGGATGGGATGGGGATGGGGATGGGGATGGGGATGGGGATGGGGATGGGGATGGGGATGGGGATGGATGGGATGGGGATGGGGATGGGGATGGGGATGGGGATGGGGATGGGGATGGGATTGGGATGGGATGGGATGGGATGGGATGGGGATGGGGATGGGGATGGGATTGGGATGGGATGGGAAGGGATGGGATGGGATGGGGATGGGGATGGGATGGGATGGGGATGGGGATGGGGATGGGATTGGGATGGGATGGGAAGGGATGGGATGGGATGGGGATGGGGATGGGATGGGATGGGGATGGGGATGGGATGGGATGGGGATGGGGATGGGGATGGGGATGGGGATTTGGATGGGGATGGGATGGATGGATGGATGGATGCAGCGACCTCCCAAGGAAAAGATACGGGCGTATGAAACAGAACCCGAAAGCAGTGGATGTTTGGTGGCGTTCAACCCCCCAAATAAACCAGGTAGAACCAGGAAAGCCCAAAAAGCCAGGTAATCTTGACCTCAGATCAATCAACCCCTAGTTGTTTTTGGTATTTGTCCAATTCCTAGTGTTTGATTCAGACCACTTTGGACCCTTGGTGCACTCGCCGAGGAAAAAAAAGTGTTGGATCGGGGAAAAAAAGAAGGTCCCTCCCCCCCGGCGGGAAAAAGAAAGAAACGGGCGCGCGCTCGCGCGCTCGGTCTCTCCTTGGTGGCGGTCTCGCACAGCTCCTCCGCCTTCTTCGCCTTCTCGAGCTCCGCCTGGTAGTAGACCACCAGCCGGCCGGTGTAGGTCACGTAGCTCTCCCCCCCCTGCCTCGGAAAGACGAGCGCCCAGAGAAAGCTTTTGCGCGCCCGAAGCCCGTGGCAAGGGACAAGGTGCGGGAAAAGAATCGGGAAGGGGTGCTTGGTTTTTTTTGTGGTGTTGTGTTTCGTGGCTGGCCTTTTTTGCGGGTTGAGATGGAAAACAAGCAGTTTAGGCGATGAAGGCCTATTCTGACCCATACCCATGTGCAAGTGAGAAGCCCCACAAAAGGGGGTCCATGTCCACGAAGACAGGCACCAGAGTTGGAAACCCTAGACGTCACCACCGTACCGTGATCCTTAAACCAAGGTGGACGAATGTCGTCGAACCAGGGTTTCTGAACGGTGAAATCGAAATGGATTTTGACCATCCACAGTAGGTTGAGCACAAATGACCCCAGTTCCAACTCTGATATCCCCAAGCAGCAGAAGAAAAAAAAAAGTGGGTCCATTTCTTGGGGCAGCAAGAGTTGCGATAATCGGGCACACCGCTCTTGTCTTAACATGGGCCGGGGCATCAACCCTGCAAACATTGAATTTGTCGATGGTGACTTGGGAAATACATGTAAAAGGCAATTGTGGTCCAAACAAAGATCAAGCATTCACCATTTGTCTTCCTAAACTATGACATGCTGCAATTTGAGTAGACACTTTTGCTTGTCCTATGCCCTCCAAGGTTGTTCTTTTACCACCTGAAAGAGTAAGGAGAAGGGGTCTCCAAGAGGAATCCAATTTGGATTGTCCTCCATTTGCTTTAAGTCCCCTGGAAAAATAAAATATGTCCAATAGTGATAGATTCCCTTTAAAACCAACAGGGGAAAATAAAGAAGCTCAGGTGATATCCCCAGCAGCATGCGGTGCTCTTTTTAGTGCTTGCACCACCCCGCAGCCCTCGCAAAACCTCGTGGAACCCTCGTGGAACCCTGGTGGAAATCTGGTCGAACCCTCTGGGACCTTACCTCGGGGCCGCCACCACTCTAGAGCCTGAGACCCCAAAGCTTTCAGCTGTTAGGGGAAAAATATTCTTAACCAAGTGGAAGTTATTGCAAGGCCGCAAAAAGGGCTATTTCCTGCCTGTTCCTGGCCGTTGCTTCCCGAGAAGCGCCGAGGGGTCTCCTGGTAACCATTCTTACCACCCAACCTCACCCCCCCCCCCCCCCAAAGCCCAAGAAAAAAAAAAATCGTCGCCCCATGAAAATCCCATGCAATGCCAGGGGCAACGCAGTGTGGATGGTTGCGAAATCCGCTTCTCGCGCCACCGTTCAGAAACCCTGGAATGAATTGATTCCACAACGTAAATATCAACAAACCATGGTTTCAACCATGGTTTCAAAGTGGTGCGAAATGGACTTCGTTCATCCACAGTAGGTGCTACTCACGCATTATTGTTTTATGATCATGGCTTGACTTGTTCTTACAGGCCCCACCATTCCAGAAAAACGACTCCCCCACACCTCCCCCCACACCTCCCCCCACACCTCCCCCCAACCTCCACACTCAAACTATTCAAGCGGGGAAAAAGTAATGTTTTACACCCTTATGACATCTTACTGTGGATGGACAGAATCACCAGTTGGTAGGCGGTTTATTGCAGGTGCGAATAGCTCATCCATCCACCATCAAACTGCCAGAGCCCTTGCCAGGGGGCTAGGTGAGGTAGGTGGGTAGTTGATTGCTCCTTTTCGGATTTAGGGTTCCTTGCAGATTTCCAGATTTGCTTGGGGTTCCTTAAGCCTTCTTGGACCCGTAGGGATTCCACTATGCCAAGGTTTCAAGTTTCAACGGCCCGCGGCTCGCTCGAAACAAACACGTGATCCGCCCCAATTCGCCTGGCGCAGTTGGTGACCGTAGAGCTGTCGTAGTCCGAGACTACCTCACCAAGTGGGAAGGAAGTTGGCTGCGACCATTTCAGGCCGTCTTTCTGTGTTTTTTGTGGGTAATCACCCTTTGTTGGTTTGGTTTAAAGGGGAACGAAGGGAAAGCAACACCCTTTATGGGGTTCCAACTCCCATCTTGAGACAAATCCGTTTGTGCATTCGATTACTATGGATGGACGAAATCTGCTTCGCATCAGTTGGTAGGTGGTTCATCCTAGTATTCATAGGGCGTCATGCATCCCAACTGCTGCAGGATTTTGTCCATCCACTTTGCCACCAGCTTGGGTGGTCTGGTGGTTTACAAGAGAGTTGCCTGAAGGATTAAATGGGGGTTGAATGGTTCTTAGAGTATCCACCTGAACATTGTTCAAAAATGGCTTTGGGTTTCTCTTGATGGAAAGCTTCATGGTTTAAATGGCCAATCTTATCTTTTCAGGAGCCCTGTCACCTCCCAAGTCACACATACACCAGTCGGTAGGTGGATTTCCCAGTATTTACGGGTCTCATCCATGCCAATTGGTGTGGCGTGTTTCTTGTTCATCCACAGAAAGCAAAGGGGAAGGAAGCTCAGATTCCAAGTTTGACCCCAAGCAACATAAGCAACATAAGCAACATAAGCAACATAAGCAACATAAGCAACATAAGCAACATAAGCAACATGGCGGGCTCGGAAAAACAAAGGCGGCGCAGGAGGCGGGGTACAGCCCCCCAGAATCTGTCAAATCAGGCAAAAAATGACCAAAATCTCTCTGGCCAATGTTTCGGCGGTTCCAAGATCCGAGATGTGAAACTGAAATGGGAAGCCGACCCCAAAAAACGGAATGACTTCAATGTACTCGGCCTCAAACACTGTCCAAATCTTAATTTTGCCGGGCCCTGTCCCTAAAAGACTGAAACATGACCTTGAGAATGACCCCTTCCTGGGAGGGCTGCACATCTGCACTCTGAACCTCCAGAATTCTGAGACCCATCAACCCGCGGCAAACAGTATGCGCTGCACAGGTCCTTCGAAGGTATCTTACAGTAGATGGCAAAGACGCTGGGATATCCCTGAAAAAGACATAAAGATGCGGAACATTGGTCCCCTGAAAATGGCAAGGGGGGAGTTCCCCTCTTGCCAATTTGGCGCCTCCCTCCCCTCCGACCGGGCGCCTTACAGGCGGCCTCCTTCTTGGTTTTCAGCTCCGACTCTTGCGAGTCGCAGGTGTCCTGCGGAGACTTCTGGGGGGCGAAAATCTTTGGGTCGCGACCAACACGGAACCCGAGCAATTCGGGAAGCGACCCCTTTAAACAGCACAAAAAAGAGAAGGTAGGCACAAACAAGGCCCCAGAAGCCACTTTGTGTTGGGTTCTTTTGGGAAAAGGGAAAGTGCACTGGAACTGATACAACTCGCAAAGATCTTCAAGGGGAACTCAACTAGAACAAAACAAAACATGATGGCTTCACTGAACCAAGCAAATCTGAGCCTGACATTGAGCGCTGTCCCGAACTCACACAGACAAATCCCCTTCCTTCTCCCCCAAAAAAAAACACAGCCACCCGAAGAAAGAAAAAAAGACAAAGAAGCCCGACCGAAAACAGCCCGACCGACAGAAAAGAAAGGAACAAAAGGAAAAGAAGAAGAAAAGAAGAAAAAAAAGGAACCCGACGAAAACAGCTGGTCTCCGGTCTTTCGGTCTCCTTGGCGGTGGCGTCCGCCGCCTCCTGGGTGCGGCAGGTCTTGTGCTGCGCCGCCGCCGCGGTGAAGACGGAGGTCTTCTTGTCCAGGACCCCGTCCGTGCCCTGGGAAAAAGGAAAAGAGCGGCGAATACGGAGGGTTGGCTTTTGCGAAAAGTCCAGAAACCCTGGACGGAAAAAGCGGCGGAGATGTTTTGTGGGCGAAAAATATATTTAAATATAAATATATATATACATAAAAGTGTCGAGAGTCGAGAGTTGAGAGGAATACTGTGGGCGGATGGCTGGGGTGTATTTCTCCGGGGTCAGCATTAGGCCGGGAATGAGAAACGGAATGGCCCCTACAAACCATCCCAAAAGTGGTTTCCTTTAAGGGGACATGTTGGAATCATTCCCAAAACCCTACTGTGGATGGACAAAATCCATTTCGCACCACTTTGAAGCCATGCGGAAACCATAACGGTTGTTGGTATTTACCAGAGAATCATCATTCCAGAGTTTCTGAACGGTGGTGCTGGATTTTGTCCATACACAGCACGGCCGAGGGTGGCTTGCGAAATCCGAAAAATCCGCCCGCGAGTCGAGTCACTCTCGTCTCTCGCACGAAATACAAATGAGAGGCACCGTGGTTGGAGCCAGAACGTTTGTTGGTTAAGTTGGAGATCATTCTTCCAGGGTTTCTGAACGGTGGTGCGAAACGGATTTCGTCCCTGTCTTCAACCAACATTTTGTGGGGATAGTTTACAGGGCTCATTCCCTCATTCTCTACTGTACTGAGAACCAGCAACTTAAGTGGGTAACCAGGGATTTCGCCCCCCCAAAAGTAACACCGGTAGTCTTGGGTGGTCTGGGGATAGACCCCCTGATGCTTCAAACAACTTTCCCTCCCACTCTTTCACATAGAACCGTTCGACGTTCCGGGGAACCATTTTCCTTTTCAAGGGACCGGGTCGCGACTGTCAGGTTCCTTGTTCATTGGTGGGTGGGATGGTGGTAACTTGGGTAACTGGGGGGGGTCCCGTAAACATCCGTGCCCTGGGGTGGTCTGGGGATAGTCAACCAGCTCCCTGATTCTTCTTCAACCAACTTACGTGAAATGTGTGTAGCTTGGGTAACTGGGGGTGGTCCCCGAATAACCATGGTTATAGGTTGTAAGTTGGACATCCTACCCGAAAACGCGGAAAAAGAGAGGGGAAATTGTGGCGTTGGCTCGAGAAAACACAAATCCATTGGCGTAGAAAAACGTGTCTGCAAAATGAGAGAGAAATTATGTTCAGTGATAGTGTTTTTGAAATTAATAGGGGGGAAAAGCACATATTCCTAAGCGAATGGAAGAAAGGCTTTCTCTGGCGGATATCCAGAATATGCATACTGTATGTGATTTCCTTTTCCTTCCTTTTCATTCCTTTTCCCTCCTTCCCCTTCCTTTCCCTCCCCCAAAAATAGACACGGAACAACAAAAACAACAAATCAGCAGAAACCCGAATCCGCACTCCGACTTGCCTGGCTCGTGCTCAAGGACGCATCGCAGGCATCGTAGCCGGAGGAGTAGTGGCCATCCAACTCAGTCTGCAGCGTCCCCTTGGACGTGAGCACCGCCTTCTTCATCTGCTCCTCGATCACCTGTCGTGATCTGCTAAAAGCAAGCGGGGCCACATGTCAACTCCTCAAAGCTCCAAACATCTCAAGTCGGGGAGCGTCAGGAGATGTGATGGCAACAAAGGGCTCACCCCGTTGGACCTGTGGCAACAAAAGACTTGCTCTTGGAATTCACGTCCATTGAGAGGAGTTCAAAGGAGGGGAGCGGTTGAATAAGCGAACGAACGGATCGACCTTTTGATCTTTTGGCTCTGTGTGGCCAACGAGTCTGAAATCGTCCCCGAATCCATCTGTCTCTGAAGGACATTGTGGAATGACACACCAATGTGGCCCTATTTTCGATGGGTTGCCATCTGCGGTCCAGGGTACCCTCAAAGACAGCCATGCAAATGTGCTTGAGTGACATATCATGAATCTCTTTTGAAATTTGCCCCCCGCAAAGCTTCCAGGCAAAGTTGGCAAGTGAAGTACCACCCAAAAAGTTGGCAGGTGAAGTTGTCAGGCGGGTGAAGTTCGCAGCAGTTTTTAGAAGAAGAGCCCTTCTCATGCTTGCGGGGAAAGCGAAAAATCAACGCTTGGAATTGTCCGAGGTTCCCATTCATCCCCCAAAAAAAAGGAAGAAACATCTCCCCCCAGCAATCGGCCCCCCATGGACATCGCCTTGTCCAGCTGTGCCGAGAAGTCCGTCATGCCCGGGGACCCCGCATTGCCCAGCAGCTGCTGCACCGCCAGCTGCATCTGCGACAGGCCCGGAGCCTTCAGCCGCAGGCGGCCGCGGTGGTCCGGGTGGTTTTTTTGACTCGAAAACCGGCCCCCCAAAAAAGACCACACCCATTTAGACCATCCTAATGGTAGAGGGTTTCATATGCAAAAGTGAAGGAGGAGACACCCACTAATCAACCAGGGCTTGATTGATCCGGGGCTACAGTGAGTGCGCTTGTCTTGAAATTCGGAACCCCAAAGTGGCCTGGGATTTTTACTTAAGCCCCACAGATGGTGCCGAACCTGAAAACAGGCGCCCGAGAAGGTTTTTTCCCCTTCCCACTGCGCTGGCCGGAAAAATGGATGCCTTCAAGAGGATCTTCCAGGGATCCTCCGACAGGTTCTATGTCAAGCAAGGGCAACCATCGTAAGGGTGACCACAAATGTAACCATGACTTTACCGACAAACCGCAAGTTCTATTGGGATCTCCACTTCCCCATTTTCCAATTTACCCGAAGGGGCTGCATTTTTTCGGGAACTCCAAATGGGGGCCGAGAATTATCTTCCAAGTTGTTTTCCGAATACTTTGCCAGAGGTTGTCAACAGACCTGCCCAAAAGAAGCCGAAATCGCAACCGAGGATGTTTCCAAGGTAGACGAGCGTGGGGCGACCCGTTCGTTTCTTCCAACCCCAAACTTCTGGTTGAACAGCCCGGAGCGGCAAACTCCTTTCCATAAAGCGCCTGCGAGCCCGTGCCGTTGACAATACTCCGCAAAGCGGACATCGATGACTTCATCGCCGCTCCATAAGCAACGACGCCGAAGAACACCAGGCACCGCAGGACCGACATAGCTTCGTTGGGAAATGAAACGGCAATCCGCTTCGCTTTGATTGCTGAGCGCTGCAAGGTCGAGAAGACTCGGGAAAAGAGAAAACAAAACAAGAGAATGCAAACAACACTAAAGCTACACCCTGAGATAAGAGAGGAAATGAAAGAGCCCAACAAACACTGACAGCAGAAGATGAGTGGTCTTTAATACAAAAACAGAAACGTGCAAGTGCATGCAACGGAATGCTGGAAACATGCTGTTCAATCAGCGCCACATGTTTGTCAGCTGCAAAGTGCAAGTACGTGAAGACTATGCGAAGTATCCAGAAGCAAAAACCATGAGTCCTGGTAAAATAGACGGTAGAAAATGGATGGCATAAAACCCGTCTAAAGCAGCGGAACCCATCGATTTCCAACCAAACTCACCGATCAACAGGACATGGCAAAAACACGACGCAGGTGCCCAACTGTGGCAAACAGGGTCATAAGCTGCTGGGCCCAAGAAACTTGCAATGCGGACTTCCCATGAATCTCTAAACCGGCTTAATTCCACAAGTTAGAAGAAATCCTTGGTAAACCATCGCCAACCATGATTGACATTGGAACCAAAGGTTGGCTACTGGACTGGTGCCATGAATCCAGTCTACCACATCTTCGACCTGTTGAATGGGTTCTGGATAGGCACCGTTTTTGGGGGCCCGCCTTCGGCATTCCAAACACAGAACTCAGCTGACACCTGCTGAACCGAACCGCGGGAACTCCCAGGCCGAGAAAGAAAAAAAACGTCTCGGGCACCAAGCGGGAAAGAAGCAAATATGCATGTAGGTTGATCAAAAGGTCCGAACATGGAATGACCGTTGGAAAGCCACCAAAGATGATATGTCCCACTAAATGGGAAAAGTTATCCATGTCATTTTGGGGCCAGGAATATTGATCAACCCCTATGTATTGCTTTTGGTCAAAACTGTGCGATGACTTGTTGTGGGTGTTCAGGTGTTTCTGTTCTGAGACCAACTGGCATTGTCTTCTTCGAACCCCGAAAACGCACAAAAACTTGCAGGTGCGGAGATGATCATTTCCCACGCAACCATCCAACCCGTGGTATCCTGATCGATCCATCGCCCAAGCTGAAGGCCTGTAATGGGTCCACCCAGCCAAATGATGGAGGCCCAGCGCACGGGCACACCCAACTCCAGCACGAATGGCGTGAGCCTCGGCTCACGGGCCGCCTTCTTCTGTTGGGTGCGAGGGGTCAAAATGAAACCAAGGGAGAGCAGGTCTTAGCTGGTGTGTGCATATACCGGGGGCCAGCACCTAGCTTTGACGCACAGCCATCATGTGTTGGTTTGTGTGTTTGTTCGGCCGTCACGGCCATGATGAGGAATGATGAAGAAATCATGCAAAGTTTATGTGTTTGTCCGGCCTTCACGGCAATGATGAGGAAGGAAGTCATGCAAAGTTCAACGGCAAACAGGAAAACAGCTCATTTGTCCTCAGCCTCTACAAACATACAGAGGAAGCCATCCAAAGGTAAACCCGGAACGTACCTAGAAACATCCTGTCAGTACGCTTGTCAGAGTTCAACAACTTCTTGATGAAGCAACCTACCCGCTTCCTAACCATCATGGAGAACGGAAGGGAAAAGCCCAACCCCACGGGAAACGCAAGAAAAACCAACAAAAAACCAATGTAAACGCAAGGAAAAACCAGGGAGCAAGGAAAAACCAAGGGAGTCAATCCATGGGAAAATGTAGGGAAGCTCGGGAAAGCCACGGGGAAAAACCAAGAAAAACATGTTTCTCCAGCTCGCGGGCAAGGAGCAGCGCGTACTGCAGCCCGAAGCCCAGGTAAGCACCCCCTGCCGAGGAAAATGGGCAGAGCAAGGAATTGGGTCCCTGGTGGTCGGGGAATTTTTGGACGGTACCTGTTTATTTGTGTTAAAGGAAACCAGAAGCAAATCCTTGATTTTGGAGGGCGCCCCGTACAAAGAATACACCCCATCTACGAATTTGTGCGAAAATGATGGCATTTGCAAGACTTCAGATTTGCCTCGTCGCGTGCCACGCCTTAAAAAAAATGTGTTATGGGGGAGATTCCAAAATGTGTGGCCGAAACGGTGCATCTGGAAAAAGCCGGCCTGTATTCGCCTTTCTTTGGCAGTCTGTTGATGGTTGGGGCAAGAATGGAGAACCTGGCAGTGGAGCAATGTAGTGCAGGGGACTTGCAAGAAACAAATGGGTGGCTCGTCTTCAAGGGCACCCTTTTGGGTTGATGCATGTCCAAATCTAGCGTCAACAGTAGGGACCCTTGGATTCATGAACTTCCTGCTGAGTTTCCTTTTGAAACCCATCTAAAGTGGGAACCAAAGACACACACGTCATGAGGAGGCTGGAAATTTGAGACCCCAATGCCCTTTTACTTTGACAAGGATCGCAAAAGGAGATGCCCCAATTCTCTCGGACCGATTTTTCCGTTCAGCCCCAAACGGGTTTGTGAGCTTTTGGCGGGGCCCAACAAAAACTGGTTCGGGGGGTCCGCGGTGACCGGGGATCAAATGGGCGGGGCATGGACACAAACACTTCTCCATCTCTTTTTGGCTTTCTGAAGCCATCAATCATAAGAAACTCTCTCTGTATGTCCTGCTCATGTTTCCCTTAATGTTGACCCAGGATAAAGAAACCCGCCCCAGTATTAGGGGGGTGTTCCCTCCAAAAGTGATGAATCCCCAATAAAAGGGGACACCCCCTATTAATCAACCAGGGGCTTATTCATCTGGGGTTAACATTAAAGACGCCTTTGCATTTGTCTGAAACCCCGATGCTTCTTAGGAGTTGCCAACCCAGGGAATCTCTTGATGGAGCATATGGGTTGTCTTCATGAGGAACCTCCACAGGCTGCCGTTGGCTTCCTTGAAACCAACGCAGAACAACGTACTATACCCTCAAGACACGCACACATTTGGGGTGGGGATGCCTTTTTGTGGGGTTCAAGGGACACCAAAAGGAAAACCACCATTTGGCACTCCGACCAAAAACAAAAAACAGAAACGTGTATGTCTCCAAGGGAAAATCTGGTGGGAAGATTGGTGAGTCCCCCTGATATGTTGACCGAACCTTACGCACCGTTCGTAAAATAGGCCCAGTGCATGGACGAAATCCACTTTGCACCAGTTGGCAGATGCTCGGTGTTCATTCATGAGCTTTCCCGCAACCCAAACTTTCGGAAAGAGTTTCGTTCCGTACTGGGCCAAGTGTTCGTCAGGCTCCGCGGTTGATTCATGAAAGGGATAGAACTTCGGTTTCGGACTTTGAGAACCCGGAGAAATGGCTGTGAGTCAAAAATAGGTACACAAATTGGAACCTTGGTGAATGGAAACATGGACTAAAACCCGCGGTCCCCGAGTGGTTCCAATTTTGACCCACACCCAAATAGAACCGATTACAAGGCACAAACTGGAAAATTGATCGGAATTCCCGCAAGGAATCTTCATGGGCATCGCGCGAACGTCCCGCGAATCGCTGAGCTTTCAGAAATCATGAGCCCAGCTGCCCCGGTGAGCGGAATAGGTGGCCTCTAACCCCGAAAACCAGTATCCCAAGGAAATACTGGTGGCGAAATCCTGCACCACCTCCTAAGTCCTAGACTGATTCGATTCCCCTGTCAAACTCGAAAAACAAATGGTTTCAACCATGGCTTCAAAGCATGCACAGTAGGGGACTCCGAAAACATGTGAGCTTCCTTTTGGGTTCCCCTTCAAAAACCACAAAGGTGCCGGTACCCTCAAGTGGCCCGCCCGCCCACCCGGGACCTTCCTCCGGTTGATTGGCTTGGAGGTCATGGCGGCTTTCCATTTTACCCCCGGCTTCCAGTCAAGAAAACCAAGCCGCAAATTCAGGGTTACGACCGTCATGTGGCCATGATTTGATTAGCTTCGCTCTAATTGGTGGGTACCTTCCCCCTTCCGTTTGTAAAGCTGCTGGGTTCGAATCCCCAGTCCACACCACTCCAAACAACCAACTAGGGGCAACCTTTAGCTTCCCTGCAACGTGGTTTCGCGGGGGTTGTTTCCCTTTCACCCTCCACAAAAGCCAGGGGTATGCAAAACCACCAATTGAGGCTTACCTGATCCAAAGTGGATGGAGAAAAACAACAAAAGCAACTTCAGGCTTTGACAAGTGCTTGGCCATAAATGATGACCCAAATGATGTCCCAAAAATTCCCCATTTGTTCTCAGGGGTCACTGGATTTCAAAAGTTCATCAATTGACCGCTGGTTTCCATCAAAATTCCCATGGTCCAAGGTCCAAAAAGAGGACATGGAGGGATCCTGCCCACTTGAGGCTTGCCTCAACGAAAGTCATCTGTGTAGCAACCCCAAGTGAAGGACTGTGGACTGACGACATCCTGCACCTAAATTCTGGAATCATGACTTCCCCGTGAATACCAACTTGTAAACCATGGTTTCAACCATAAATTTTCCCGGCGCGACATGAATACCAGCAAACCATAGCTTCAACCATAAAATTTCCCCGGTGCGACATGGAAATTTCGTCCACAGTACAAGCTCGTCTCAAAGGGATCCCAGGCCACAGCATGCGCGCCTTGCGACGCGGCCAGCGCCAGCAGCTCCGGCCCCGACCACCGGCGAGACTCCGAAGGCACCGGCGCGCCCACGGACACCGAGGTCATGGCCGACGAGCGCGCCAGGACCTACGGAACACGAGACAAGCCACGGAGAACACGGAGAAACGTGACGAAAACTGGGGAAACCACAGACATGGAGGGGAAGCTGTGGAAAAGAACATTAAAAAAAAGAAAAACATGGGAAAAGTGCGGAAAACACATGGGAGCAAACTGCGGGAAAACACAGACAAACATCAGACAAACATCAGACAAACATGCAAGAAACACATAAAGACCTTGGGGAAAACGGCCGGAAAAGGATGAAGAAACAAAAAATGAAAGGGGCCAAGCGCGCAGAAGGCGGAACGAAACCGAGCGTTTCCCGGCCTTGCGGTCGGGTGCGTGCCAGGAAGCTGCAAAGGACTGAGGTGCTGAGGTGCTGTTCTTGGCCCCAACGGGCCTTCTCTGTGTGCTCAAGCCCGGTTTGTGCGGTGCGTGTTGGTGTGTACGCGTTTTGGGGTTTTAAGGGACCCGTTTTGTCTCTTGGGCTCTATTTTGAGACATACCCATATGCTTGGCTGACTGGAACCCCTCCATGCGATCTGTTTGCGATCCGTTATGTGGGTAGATGGTCATCCATTTCCTGCTCCTGTGCTATCCCGGAAACCCAGCCAGTTACACGCGAAATCTTTGGCAAAAGGCTGGTCTTGCAACACAAAAGCGTGGGTTGCATGTGGGTCTGTCAATTTGTTTGAGGGTATCAAGTCTAAAGGCAAACAACTGGAAAAACAAACAACAAAAAACATGGTCCCCGATTTTAAGACACCCCCATGGCGGGCAAGTTCAGTCTCGAAACGCACGCGGTCAATTCTTGACCGCGGCTTGGACCAAAAGCCGCGGTCAAAAGAGGCGACAGTCCCAGATGAGCGAAATCTCATTGATTGGTTCTACCAAGAGCGGTTCTCAAAATTCGGGACTCCAGGTGGTTTCCTTTTGGTTGCCCTGTTTTTGAACCATCCAAAAAGGGGTCTGATTCCTATTTTGAGACCTACGGAAATGGTCGTTTGGTTGTGTTAGGTGCTCCGATGGGTTGTTCATGTGTGTCAGCAAGGCTCGACATCTATTCCCCAACTCACATGAGACTTCGAGAAACCCCCCAACAAAACGTCCCCTTTACAGCAAATGACGGTAAACAATATCACTACTACTATTAGAGCCACGGTCAAGAAAACCTTTTTCTGTCATGGTCATGGCTTGCTCAGTCTGGGATCCATCCCCACTAACCACAAGTCAGTCGTCCTTTTGGCCATGGAGATAAAAGAGCCCACAGATCCCTCTTTCCGGCGCGAGCAATGCATTTTGACGATCCCATTGAAGACTTCAACCCGAAATTTCAGGAAGGCAACCCCTGAAGTCTGTGGGGGAATCAAAATGTGGAACCCGAGGCGCAGGGGAACATCACGATTCCAGAATTCCCTGCAGCTGTCTGAGTGAAGTTCTCTCTTAAAACTTAGAAAAACGGGCGTCCGATCCCAAAAGGAGATTCCTCTTGAAACATAAGCAGTGTTTTGGCGGGGTTCATGTTATTTTGTGTTCAGGCGGGCACAGGCCCAAACGAAAAGAGGCTGCCTGGATGCGTGGTTTTTTTTCCCCCGACTACTACAGTACGGAAGTGATGTGTCGGTGGCCTTGTTGTCTGACACTTGATAGCTCTCTGGCAGTCTGTCTGCCCCTCAAGACCAGTTGGGTGACTGGGTTCCCTGCCATTTGAAACACAATGATCCATCTTTTAGTCAACCGCGAAGATGTAAGTTACACTACACAAGGATGACCCACCAGTCAACTTCCCTCCAAAAAGCCTCAAACAATGGAGTTCAGTCGGAGAGGGTGCGACGGCTCACTTAGCCGGCGCAGAAATAAGGCAAGAGGCCCACCACTGATTCGTGTGCCCCGAATTTGGGCTGGTTTACAATAAAAGCGAGCAGGTCCCTCCTGTTCACAAAGAGCCCTTCCTTGCTACGAGTGCCATCCTGGACCCCCAGAATCACATGATTCAACCCCTGTCAACCAAAACATGCTTTCATGTGGCAAGCCCCACCGGCCCGGATTTTCCCATGCGCACCGGGAGATATAAAAAAAGACGCCCGCGACACGTGCAGAGGGTTCCTGCCCAAGTGGAACATGATCGTGCAAGAGGGTCTGTGCACCCAACCATGTCAGAGTGTGGCTCAAAATTAAAGAGCCAGGGTTACGCAGGTTTTCGTCTTTGGTTGCATTTACCAAGGTGCCATTTTTCGGGTATCTATGTTTGACCCCCCGCCGTCTTTTTGCCTGGCAAAACGGAGACCCAACCCAACACGAGCGCGCCGCTTCTGGACCTCGCGCTCCAGCTTCTCCTGGCTCTGCGCTGGACCCGAGAAACGGAGAGGCCCAAAAAGTTGGCCCGGGTAAGCCTGGAGCCTTGAGCCGGGCGAAAAAGCGTCTTTGGGGGGGGAGGCGGGGGTAGGGTAAGAAAAAACCACCAGAAATGCGAATGTGTGTTGGGTTTAGGGCGTTCACCTGATATTGCAGGCCCTCATGTCCTTTATGAGAGTAAGCCTCCCTGAATGGACCGCCACAAAACGAACGGGGAATGCAGTTTATGCCCTCGCCAGGAATTTCGTCGGGCAAAATTCCTTGGGGCCTGAAGCAAGGTGCTGTCCCAACTCGGTTGCGGACCCCCCCCCTCCCCCTCCTCCCCTAAAACCTGCGCGAACGTCGCGTCACGGTGAGTGTCCCATGGTAAAGCAACGCAACGTAATGCAAAACGCAAGGCAACAAAAACGTAGCGTCGCGCAACGCGCCACTTTTCTGCAATGCAACGTGTGCATTCAACCGCGCTCTCCATGGGTCTCGCTCTCCTTCTCTCTGCCTACCTTTGCAAGCCCGAGAGCCAGGCCTGCGCCGGCGTCTTGCGCGCCTGGCACACCCAGGTTTCCACTTACCAGGGTTCCATTTTGGGTACCGGTTTCTCGAGCCACAGCCAAATTAACATGGGAGCCCCCAAAGGAGATTCCTCCAAACATGACGGTTTTTCTTTTGGGGTTCCATGTTGATCTGGAGGTATCACCACCCAAAGCAACGCACCAGGAAATCCAACAACTGTTGGAATAAACCGCCTACCAACTGGTGGAGGATTTCGTTGGGCCAAACAGGGCCCCTCCTGATAGAGGGCACCAGTTGAGATCGATGAAGCCGCATGAATCCACTGTATGAGGCAAATAAACAGCTTGGGAACCTAGTGATCAGCAAACCAATTTTGCGTTTGCGGTCGGACATGATTGAGGCCCGCAATGTTGCAAGGGGTGCAAGTTGAAAACCCTGTATTTGCCGCACCTCATCACAGTTGTGGGTTTGGGTTCACTTGCAGCGACTAGGGAATCCGCCGCACCCGAAAAAGTAAACCGGGATTTCTGCACCTCCAGCTGTTCCGCATTTTTTGAACCTTGGTTGGCCGGTGTCACCGGAGGCGGACGCCCAAGTTGCTCGGCTGTTCCAAATGGCTTGCGGAACTCTGTTGGCATCACCGAAACCAAGGGAAAGATCCTTCAAGCAAAGATGTCGGGTTCTATTTCAAGAGTGCAAACAAGCCCCGGGGGGGTGGTATTCCAGGCGAGTACCTATTTAAGGCGTGATTTAAACAGCCCAGCTCGGCGAGCTCTATTGATCCTTGAAACATGCACCGCACGGGGCCGGGGAAGTCATCGCGGCATCCACAAAAGAAGGAAAAAGAGCTCCGGCGCAATCATATGGCCATGGGGCATAACCTATGGCTCCAGTTTGGGCTCACCCTGAGCAGTGTTTCTAACGCTGAGCCATCCATGAAATCCCACAGAGTCCCGTGCGCGGGTTCGGAAGGATCGTAGATCTTCGGCCTAAGTCTCGGGTCTTCCTCTTTTGGTTGGGAAGGAGCACCCGCCAAAAAAAAAACACATCACCGGAGGCCTGAGTTTTACCACTGGAGGTCTGGCCCAAAAATGGCCTCCCTTGGGTCGTTTCTTGAGGGCCTGCCAAACGCCACGGCACCTCGACGTGGGTCCCAACATCATACGCAGTGCCTGGGGCCTGGGCATCCAATGGTCAGAAACTGGGCATGTTCTTGCAGGCCCCGTGGAGCTTGCGTCGAAGACAGGGGGGCGTAGGTGGGTTTCGCGTTGTTTTGTGTCGGTGTTCAACGGGACTCCAAAAGGCTTAAACCGTTGAAACCGCCATTTCGGAGGGGCCCAACCTAAAAAACACAACACGCCCAGGTCCCCACCATCCCCCCACAATTTCAGCTGGCCTGCTCGTCCTGGCGGAAAAGCCAGGAGGACTTGGGACGGGTCCTTTGGCCATGGTTTTTTGGAGGATACCGATACCACCGCCTGCGCTTCGGCTTTCCTTTTGGCGCCCCTTTCAACCCAAAAATGGGGGGGGGGGGGGCGGCCCTCCCAAGAAAAGAGACTCCGATTAGTTGCGCGATCTAGACCATTCTTTGAAGGGGCAAAGATGTAACTCTCGCGCATCCACGCGGCATTTGGCTTTGAGAAACTCGAGTCTCATTTGACCCAACGCCCTTTCAGAGTGGCCGCCGGAGTCCACAGAGTGGAAGGAGGCCACTGAGGGCTTGACTCTGCAACCGATGTCAGTCTACCCACAACGCGGCATGTGAAACTTTTGTTCGGAACCAACCGAAAGCCACATGTTTTGGGTTCCAATTTAGAGACAAACCCACATGAGCCCACACAACCTCCGCAGTCGAGCACGTGGGGATCTGTCAAAACTGGGGGCCCTTTTTGGTGTGCTGACCAACTGCTTGGAGGGGTCCGTAGATTTGACAAGACCATCCCAAATCAACCTGCACAGGGCAACTTCTGTTGGCCCTGTGATTTTACCATTGCCGCAGTCACATTCGAGCAGGAAGTTGAAGGAAAGTTCCAGTTTCTGAAATTGAACATCCCCGGAAGGAACAAATCGTAAACGGCCAACAGCTGTTCAACACTCCCTGCATCATCTGCATCATGTGCATACCTGGCATCACAGCTGGT